GCCATTCTGACGGCGAAAAAGTGCATACAGCAGGCAACACCTGCATATATTGATGAAAAATGTCGTGAGCGAGGGAGTCATATCTTCGCGGCGTGAAGGAGCATCTCTACAACTTTGGCCTCCTCAGCAAGGAACCGGAGGCTTTGCAGGATGGTGCCGCGGTGCTTGGTTTGCAGGTCTGGGGAGACGATGGCGTTTGTATGGAAAGCGGGAAATGAAGTCCCAGACATGCCTGATGCGGCAAGTTAGTTGGGCACCTTCCTGTAGGTGGCTGGCTGCGTGTTGCGGTGGCATTTATCAAGTGGAGAGCATCTGACGCACCACTGGTTGGGATGACGAAGTTCACGACGCCCCTCTCAACACCATGATGAGGGAGGTCCTCGCTAGAGTACGCGAGGAAGGCCCAGCGTGGGGCAGATGGTGCATTGACAGTCAAGACCTCGGTGTGTGGGTTGACGCAAGCTCTCTTGCATATCCATAGTTCACGATGGAGCCGTGGTGGAAGATGCTTGCTGGTTACATCCAAAAAAGGACTCCCAGCACATAAACCTAGCAAAAGCTTCGATGCTGTCATCAAGGGGATCAATTTTGAAATCCTCTGGAAGTCAACCACCCTATGCCTGTTCACTGATTTTTTGAAGCGTTTATAAGCGGATCTCGGATACCCTACCGGGAGGGCCAGGGTCGGACTAAAGCCACCAGCGAGATGCTTATTCAACGATGGAAGCGACCCATCTTTGAAGCTAGTGCAAGAGCAGCACTGACAATGGAGGTGTCCCTGGTCAAATCTAGCCTCAACAAGGCAGATTGTTTAAAGAGGGTGTCCCAAAGGTGGCTTGACGCCGCTAAAAAGCTATTGAGCCTGTGCAACCCGCCTGGACATGTGTCCGTGAGTCGAGCTCGATTTAATTGAGTCAAAGAAGTCCACCAACAAAGGGCACCCTGGAGTCAAGCGGACACTGTATTTCGGGGTAGTCACGCAAAGTCCAATTTCACGCATGAAAATTAGGTGTGTCTGGGCTCCCATAAAAGCAGGTCACTTGGAGAAATTGACAGAAGGGCATTACACCCGTGTTCGGTGTACATTGCATTGCTTTGCGTTGCATCGTGTCAGACATTTTCAGATGGAAAGAGTTGCGTCCCTTACACTGTTGAATTTGACTCCCTTGCTACAGGATTGGTTCTCCGTTTTAGCCAACTCACATTCACTTTTTCATTTGAAAGTACTAGAGCTGGTTTACATCAGGTTTCACAGACCCTCGCTGGGTAAACAACAAGATTATTTGCTAGACCTTACTGTGATCAGTCTCTGGTATTTTCTTCCCCTCCCCCCCAATTCTCATCATTGACTAATTCATATCTCATATTTATTATATTTTACTTTTACAGGCACATTTGTATTTGTTGAACACCCAAAGAGCCAACCTGTGGTTTATACTGCAACTATGCTGAGCAGACCTTAGTTACAGTTTCTGGGAGAGAGTGTGTTATCTAGCGTGATCAACAATCTGAACAAGGCCAGCACACACAAACCCTCAGTCACACAATGACTTGTGACTTTGTGCTAGCACCGCTATCGACAACCTCCAAGGATTCTGTTTACCCAGTTTCACTCACAAGGCTTGGGTCAACCCATGGTAAAATATATATATATATATATGAAGAAATATAGTTTTAAGGTGTGCTATATTTATGGGATGAAGTGCTCAATATCAGAGAGAGCATATGTAAATATAATAATAATAATAATATGACAATTGCGCCTAGTATGAAACAGCCTGTTGCCTCTGAGTGTTGACTTCAATGTTCACTTTTATATTTACACATGCTCTATCTCTGATATTGAGCACTTTATCCCATAAATATAGCACACCTTAAAACTATATTCCTTCACATATATATATATATATATATATTAGAAACATCAAACTGCACTATCTAAACATTATTGGGAGTTGTTGGAAAGCAACTTAACCCCACAAGTAAAATGGAGAATCGTCTCAAGAGCTAGAACTCCAATAAACTTCAGAGACCGATGTAATTTGTGCATTAAAGAGAAAATCCTAATAAGGCATAAGGATCCGGACATATTACTGAACAAGCATAACAAGTTGATTTTTAAATGTAGACATAAAAGCCACCTCAATTTAACTAAATATATTTAGAAATAACTATATAAAAAGGGAAAATATTACTTTTGTTTTTGAAATGAATGTATGAACACATGGATACTATACTTGTTCGTATGTACTCTAAAAAGTAGATGAAATTAGACATTTATATGTGAATATATATATATATATATATATATATATATATATATATGCATGGGCATTTTGGATAAGGGTGCTTATATGAATATATGTTTGTGTGTGTGTGTGTGTGTGTATATATATATATATATGCATGGGCATTTTGGATAAGGGTGCTTATATGAATATATGTTTGTGTGTGTGTGTGTGTATATATATATATATATATATATATATGCATATGTATGAGTATGAATATATATTTTGTGTGTGTATATATATATATATATATATATATATATATATATATATATATATGTATGAGTGTGTATATATATGCATATGTATGAGTATGAATATATATTTGTGTGTGAATATATATATATATATATATTATTTTGAATATAAAATTGCATGTAATCTGTTTATGTATCTGTATATAGATGTAAATATTTTAGAATTAATTTTTGTAATATATGTGTGAATATATGTATAACATAGTAATATAAATACATATGCATGTGTGGATGGTTATGGGTAGAGTTCTTTTCATATGCTGATTTATGTATATAATTGTGTGTGTATATGTAGTTATATGTATATATGTGTGTGTGTGTATGGAATGTATTCAAATGGAAGGACATGGGTCATTCTAATGGTGTTTTAAAATTACTCCTTTTAATATCACTTTCTCTTTTAATGTTCTATAATTAGAATTAGGAGAGTGTATATTTATCCTCTGGAGGTTTTTTTCATTTTAAATTGATAACTTAACTGAAATTTAAATATACCACTCTTTAACTATCAATATTAATAGGAAAATATTGACAAAATTTTTTTAATAATCAAGCACTTCAGAAGTCACCTAACGTTAAACTTTAACTATGAAATCAAACAAAAATCTAAATAAATTTCAAATATTAAAATATAGGTAATTATTTATAAATGTATGTATATATAATTTATGTATGAATATAGATGAACATTTGTGTATATTGTTACACTTGTGTCTACGTGTGTATTTGCGCATCTAAATAAACGTATGTATATATGGGATTTGCATATGTTTGTGATATATATAAGAAGAAAGCAAACGCTTTAATATTATCCTCAAATATTATTCCATAATGAAACCTAAACCTTAAGTAAGTAAGTTTACCCATATAATAATAAAGAAAAATTGCATTCATAAATTAGATTAAAAGTAAAACTAATAAAGATGTCACCGAAACTATTTTTATAATATTAAGGAAGTATGATTGGTCGGGTAAATAAACTATTATAATTTAAAATACTTCTTTAATATGTTCTCTATAAATGTGTTAATAAAAATAGTAGTTAACTTATATTAAGTCCCTAAACTATTTGCTTAAAAAATTAAATATTTAAATTGATAGCAATCATCAAATTTTTTTTAGACATCTAAATTTCTATCAAGCATTGAAATCTATCCTTTACATAAATCTGTTAAAACCCAATTACAGCCTCTTTCGATTTACTTCCCTCTCCCCCCTCTCCTTGCTGTAACACTCATTTGTATATATCTGTATTACTGTTTTCTGTCTCCTCTTTCTTTTTCATTTTTCCTTTTTCTTTTCTCCCTACTCCCCTCCCATTTCTATATATCATTTCCGTTAAGTTAACCATCTAAATAGGTCATGGTCTGGTCACTCCTCCTACCCCAATATAAAGCACACTTGAGACAGATATGAAATTAACCCCTCCCTATACTCTACCTTGTCTCTTTAACTATCCCTCTCACACCCTCTGTTAAATTACAAAAACTTACACTACCCATCAATTTTAATCTCATTTTTCATTTCATTTCGTTGTTGGAAGTGCTACCTGATGATCCGGCGTCCTTTTAAAAGGACTCTGGTGAAATAAATTATTGTAATGGTACCTTAAAGTGGTCTGTTTTTCTTTTAAATATTAGCTCTGGATTTACATTGAGCTCTCAGGATTTCATCCTCCTTGGGATTACCCATACGGTTTACCAAGTTCTTCATAACTTAAATAAATATACATACACACACACACACACATACACACAGAGGGAGAGAGAGATAGTCAGCATATAAAATTAGAAAATCAGCCAATCTCACTTCCTTGAATTCAACCTTTTGGTATCTTCAGGCAATTTTAGTCAGTTGATTTCCTAATGCTTTATTTGTTAAAATATAATTATTTATGAACGCTATATTTTTTGAAAAAATAAATAAATGAATCAATGCACGACATGAGGCATTGTAGAAGGTGAGGAGAAGATGGAGCGGATAATCAAATGTATTGGAAATATATCAGTGGTGGAATAAATGAAATATACATACGTTCTTTTTATCCCACTTCAAAGGAACTTTTTTTAGTATGAATACAATGGGACAATTTCAGATTTCTGGTTTAAAAGTTTTTTTTGGGGGAATGTTATTATAGCTAAATTTTCTTGTGACAAAGATTGCAGATGTTGCTAAGATTGCTGTTATATATATATATATATATATATTATTTAGACATGTTGTCAAATATCAGAAACAACTTTTCTTTGATAATTTTTTTTTTATTGGGGGGGGGGGTTCTTTCCATTTATTATGCAATTTTTTGTGTCAGGGTCTACTTTGTGGAAGTGGAACCCTAAATTTGGTTTTCAAGAGCTTTCATAAAAATGATGTGAGGCTATATATTTCTCACGTTGTTTTAGAATCAGTTACTATTAAAAAGTAATTTTTTTTTCTTCTTCCAAAGACTTACCTTTCTTCCTTATCCAAGTCTTCAGATGTTATTGTTCCTTTTTCTTCAGATCGTACTTTTTCTTTGATTTTTGGATTCATTTCATGGACAGCCCTCTCCATCTCACGGACACACATCGGATCCTGAGCAGTGAGCCTATCCAGCAGTAACCCAATATAATAGGGTCCATCTCCAATACGTTCTGGCTCTTCATCATCAGGCAGTCTCTCACTGCTTTTACGCATTGATAGAGGGATATATGAAGATTCTTTCTTGCCAGACAGTTTTGAGTGGAGTTTCATGAGTAATGAAATGATGCTTTCTTTGACAACAATTGTAGACTGGCATTTGGTGGGAATATCCGCTCCAGAACTACACTTCACATTGGAACTTTCAGCATTGGAATCGCCATCACCATTTGATTCGGAACCAGACAATTTCAATTTAGAACTCAAACTTTTCTTTAGAGGAGCAGCTATTCTTGAAGCAACAAAGTATTGTTCAGTTAAGCTCTGGCCAGCTAAAAAACAAAAGACAGTGCTTTAATATTGAGCATAAAATAAAAAATTTATTTAAAAATTTGTACTTTTTCCAAGAGCCAAGTTTAGTCCATCTGTCATCTATTGAATTCCGGTTTCAATATATAATTGCCTCATTTGAATCTCAAAGTTATAAAAGTTAAATGTAATAATTTCTAAATGGGTTTTGAGTTCAAGTTTTGCAAATCTAAAATTTTAACTATTTTTAGAAACATGGAGAAATCATAAAAAAAAAAAAAAATTTATTTACAAAAGTAAATAACACCAGTAGTCAAAAGGTAATCAGAAATGTAAACCATCTTGTAAAAAGAACAATAAAATAAATAATATTAAATAGATAAAAAGAGAGAGAAGAATAAAAGCTGATGTGATGTCTTTATTAAAAGTATTTCATTTCTGTATGAATTTCTGGAATATTTACACTATTTGCATTTGGACAATTGTCCTCATCTTTGTTATTATTATTATGAGAACAGCTTGCCAAAAACTTTTGATAAAAAAGATAAAAATAGTCTAAATGTAAATACTGTAAATAAATAAAGGGTTTATTTTAGAAGTGCCTATAGGTTACCCGGATTGATTTACACCTGATGAAGGCTGGAGGGCACAATGTCTGAAACAGCAACAATGAAAATGAGGATAATAGTCCGAATGTAAATATAGATATTTAATATTGATGGTGGGGGGATGGGGTCACTGTAACAGAAATTATCACTTGAGTACTTTTAACAGCATTAACAACTAAAATGGATAGACCATGTAACTCAAATAAAAAAATTAAGATGTTGATATTCAACACAACTTCACACAAAATTTTAGGAAGGAAATCCTCATCAATACTGGAAAGAGCAATGAGAATGGACTTAAGAAACCTATTTTCCTGAAAAATTGTTTTAATAGAAAGATTTTATAAATTTCAACTGAAGGAAGTAATGAATGTTGAACGTTTCCATTTAAGTAAATGGCTAAAATCACAATTAGAAATTAGAACGGATAATAAATTTTGAGCCCAACCTGATGACCAGGGAGTGAAAAAAAAATGTAACTCAAGTAGCACTGGCTGCCCTGTCAAATGTTTCCACATAAGGAAATGACTAATATTAGCCTTACTATTAGAGATGAGGAGAACAGACACTATACTTTGTACAGCAGGGAGTGAAGAAAAGCGCAAATATCACTGGCTGCTCAGTCAATGAATGCTGAATGTTTCCTTATAAGAAAATAGCTAAGATTACCATCTGCAATTAGGGATAGAATTTTTTTGCCAGATGGTCTTTATTTCAATTTTAAATAAATTATTCCAAGCCAAGTCAGGTTTAAGCAACCCACCACATGGACAGGTGTTGGCTAAACCAGCTGTCCTACAAGCTTTTCTGATGGTGAGAATGGTTGCATGTCACCCCACAGGATGAAAAACAAAAGGCTGATGAGCTTATAAGAGCCTATAGCCAACATACAATATATTTTAATCAATTCACCCCAAGCAAGGTGATAATGCTACTAGGACATAAAGGGTTACAGGGAGTGAAAGTGAAAACACTGAAGTGAAAGTATAATAAAAGAATAGGATTTAGAGAGAGAAGATGACAATTTTTATTGCATTTAAATTTTTGAAGATTGTAGGGGACAGAGAAGCAAGAAATTGGAAAGGAGTTCCACAGGTGAAAAGTATGAGAAAAGAAACTATTAGAATAGAATATACACTTGCATATAGCTTGTTCAACAGTAAAATGGTGAAACCTTTTTGCCAATCTAGTAGAATGCTTAAATTCATTCAGTTGAGGTACCAAGGAGGAAGGCTCATTAGAACAATTGCCATGAAAATATTTGTAGAAAAGACAAAGGGAAGACACTTTACATCAGAGAGAAAATGACTGAAGTTGAGATGTTGGGTCAGGATCAATTACATTACAGACCTTTCTTTGAACTTTGTCAAGAATCTCAAGATATACAGCAGGAGCACCAGACCAGATATGCAATATTCAAAGAATGGACAAATGGTAGAATTATAAATGTACAAGAAGGATTCTGATGTGATAAATTGTCTGGCATGACACAGTGAACCAACTTTCTTAGCAGTAGAACTAGCAATTGATTCAATATAATCACTCCACTTCATGCCAGTGGAAAATGTTAACTTATGGAAGACACAAAGAGCCTCTCCTGGAGGTTAGCATCAACCAATGCTGATGCTAGGCAGTTTGCTCCAGTTAACCATAGATTGGAGGTCCTTTTCGAGAGCAATTTGAAAAGAAATACAATTTTCATGTCTTAGAATTCTACCCCATTTCTTAGATTAATAATTCATTGGATATTAAAGAGAGAAAAAAAAATCAACTAAAAATGAACAATTTTCTACTTGAGATTCAACTAGCATATTACCTAAGTATTTTGCACACTGAAAAGGAGACCTAGACTGAGTATAGGTATTTACTAAAATGAGATTATAGCACAAGACCTCACATGCAATATCCAGTAAAGATTTACAATAGGAATTGTCTACAAGACTAGCTGACAATTATGTCATAGCAATGTGCCCAAACTGCAGTTTTCTTTTATACTAGAATTCATCCAATATACAGACAGAGAACTACTCAGGATAGAGGATTACTGTTAAGAAGAAGTTTGTGATATAAATTAAAGTATTGGTGGTAGGAAATGAAGATTAAGAAGATAAGTAGGATAGATAATGGTTGACCCTTGACTCCAGTCTTAGAGGTTAAGATTGTAGTGTAGAGGGTCACTGTTAAAATGGTTATGTTGAATGAGGTGTGTAATATGAATGAAAGAGGTGGTCATAGGAAGTGAAGATTAAGAGGATAAGGATTGTTTAACGTTATATCAACTCCTTGTGGGTCATTTAATGCTGAAATTTAATTTTCTTGGGAGTTTTGAAGTAATAGAAATATGATACATGTTATTTTGCTTTCACAATTGTATACATGGTAGATGATACTCAGCTTTTATGCATATACATATTTATGTGGATATGATTACTAGATGCAGTGATATGTGAGTTTTATGTTATAGTTTTGTTGAAGTTATATTTTGGAATACAGTTTGATTTAAGAAATTGTAGGATATTATATAGATTAATGACATGAAAGTTCTTTCATGTTGGTTGGTCAATTTCATTTCATGGTATATCAACCTCTATGGGTTATTTAATGCCAAAATCTAAATATTTTGAACAATTTTATGGCTTCAACTAAATATATTTTGAATGCAATTGTATGCCTTCAGCTACAGATAAAATGTTGGTCATTTTACTATAAAAATGTATTTTTATACTTTCATAGTGTTTTGTTTTTTTTTTTGGGGGGGGGTCACTATTTGTCCATAGTTGGGACCCTAACAGTTACTACCACCCCAGGCCAGGGTGGATCTGGGAACAACAGCAGTTAAGAGGTGGTTTCACACTCCTCAAAAACCTCTCGATCAGAGGCCTTGCTGCTGGATGTAGTTTATCGCCATATCCAGGACTGAAGATAAGGAGGATAGATAATGGTTGACCCTTGACTTGAAGGGGTTTATATTGTAGTGTAGGAGGTTAAATGGTTATGTTGAATGAGGTGCGTGTCAGGTAAAGATGATGAGGATAAAGAGCATAGATAACTGACCCTTCGTTTTAAGAGCTTAAGATTGTAGTGTTTGGGGAAGCAGTTATGTGGGAGTCTGTTCCACAAAGTGACAGTTCTCAGGCAAAAGATGAATGGACCTTTGTTTTCAAAATGAAGAAAGTGTTAATAAGACAAGGAGTGCTTAACTCAGACAAATATCTTGTAGCAGATTAGACTTGCAGATTTAAGACAAAAAAGTGAAAGCAAAAATATTTACCAAACAGAGACGAAGCTGTTTGATGGAGTTCCTCATCTTCAGCATCACTTGTTTCATCCAGAATAATTTCATGAATCCTGTGCTGGGCATTCACCACAAGGCAGTTGCTAGGAAACCAGTTTCTATAATCACCATCATGAACACACTTCTCACAATGGTATTCCTGAAACAAAAGAACAGTTTTTAATCAGTATTATCATTTATAAATTTACATAAGCTTAAATGTTGTCTGTGCATCTTACCTCTGTGAAACAAAACAGCCCACAATGTTAAAATATTATGAATGCTTACAAGCCTCTTATATATATTACCAACAAATAGGATTGGGTTTCTGGTTACTTCTAAAGACTACTTCAACTCTATCCTTCTAACATCTCCACTTAAAACTCACCTTTTATCTGGTATTGAATTACTTTTTCTTTTCATAATGTGTGTAGATAGGTGAACCTATCATCTGGTTCACACTCCTCCCTAGTCTTTTGAACAGAAGTAGAGGTTTATCCCTTTTTCTTGTTTAAGAGTAGGTTGTGGTTCCTTCTAAAGCCTTTTCCCTATGTAACTCTCTACCTTGAGTGACTCTTGGACCTTGTACAGGGTGAATATCATTGTAAATGGCATTTACAACATTAGCAATAATATTTGATTTGCATAACAATTGTTAAATGCATATTTTAATAAATATTTCTTGTGTTATTTATTTTTTTAATTCAAATTTTAAAAATTTCCAAATATAAACAATGTTCCTGTTGATAAAGTTTTATTTTTAAATTCATTGTTTGTACAGAAAGAATTAATATCTGACTTTCTCAAAATTAACTTGTAAGTCAGAAAACCTATAGCATTCATAATAAACATTGTTGTCATCTGCTAGTTCACTTTTTTTTTTTAATCATCTCACCACAAGCAAAGTAATAAAGCCACTAGGACACAAGAGATTACTGAGTGCTAGAGAATATGAGAAAAACTACTATATGGAAGAGAGGACAATAAAAGAACAAGAATTAAGAAGACATGATAATGATTGAAACAGTATTTAAATTTTTCAAGATCAAATTTAACTAGGAAGCAAAAAGCCAGAAGAAGAGAGTTCTACAAGTGAGAAGTGCGAGAGAAGAAACATTTAGCATAGAACTTACGGTTACAGCAAGCCATTTCAACTTTAAGATGATGAGACCTTGATACAAATCTAGTACAGCACTTAAATTCATAAAGTCTAGGTACCATAGTGGAAAGTTCATCTGAATATTTACCATGAAAGTATTTATAGAAAAGGCACAGGAAAGCTATGTTAAGTGGTGGAAAAGGGATTGAAGCTGAAATGCTAGGTTAGGACCAATAACATTTGAGATTCTTCTTTGGAATCTCTAAATATAAAGCAGGAGCACCAGACCAGAGGTGGCAGCAATATTCAAAGCAATGACTACAAATTAGTTGAAAGGAGCTGAAAAAAAGTTTAGGGAATTATCTAAAGACAATCTGTTTAATCAGATTTTCTTAAAATTGTACCAAATTATTTAAATAAGTAAAAAATAGTAAGACTGTTGAATTATTTTTTTTTTTTATTTATGAATATAAACATTAGAAAAAAGAGAGAGATGGTTCATGATAGGTATAAAGTGTGTTGAGGGTTAGTGGGTTGGCTGCATATTAACGTAACAAAATGTGTGTTTGTGTGTGTGTGTATATATATATATATATATATATATATATATATATTAGTTAAGACAATCTAGTTTTACAAATGGAACCCCTCTGAATTCTGGATCATTTAGATCAAAGACTTTAAAGAACTCATTGATGTGGTTGGATTACCTTACAAAGTTGGAGGCCTTTCATCTGGGTATTTGTTGGTTTGCACCAAAATTAATTGAGTTGGCTGGCAGTCAGTTGTTATTGAAATCTGGTTCAGAACTGTTTCTAAACTTTGTAAACTATACTATGTGACAAAACCCAGCAACTCCTTGTTGCTAAGCCTTTCCGTTTTCCTTTTAGTCCCTGACCAAATCACTAAAATTAAAATAAGACCTCTTTTTTTGTTTACAATAAAACTCAGTTGAACTTCCTGTTATTCCATTTGCTTTTCCTCCTCTTATTTCTTTTGTCACACACATGACAAAATACAGGTTTGTCTTAACTAAAACAAAATTGTTTCAACAATTTCCCATTCCTTTTTTTGCTTTGTTTAATTGTCTCTGTTGAGTAAAATAACTTCTCAAAATTATTTTGTGATATTTTTATATTTTAAAACTTGCTTTTGTGACCTTGCTAGTAAAAATGTCATTTTCTATTGAAGAGATTTTGTCTTTAGCCAACCTGGGTGAAACATTTGAATTTTAAAAAAAAAAATTTAATTAGCATAACTTGCTACATATTTTAATTTAAATGCAAATACATGTATGAAGAAAGCAGAAATAAAAAATATTTTAGCGGAAAAATTACTTGTAGAAATTTTACATTCATATAACTTCAAAGGAAAATCTCAAAATAATTTACATTTACAATTAGAATTTAAAAAACCTAGAAAGACAAGAAAAACAAAAATTAAAATTGAACAAGAAAAATCGGAAAGATTAAAAATTGTAAATGAAAACAATCAAGCAATAAAAAAATTCTCAAAATTTCCTTTTTTCTGATTTTGTAAGTAAATTAGTAAGACATATCAGAATATCATTATTATTGATAAAATAAAAAATAAAAAAAAAAATAAAAAATCAAAACCCATATTTGTATACAACTTTGTCTACCATCTGGTTCACACTCTTTCCAAATCTTTTGAATAGGAATAGAGGTTTATTCCTTCTTTCCTGTCTAAAATTGGGTTTCTGATTCCTTCTGAAATCTTCTCATTCTCTTTCACATCCAGTAGTCATTGTGTCTTAGTAACATTATTGCCTTGCATGGTATGAACTCATTTAAAAAAAAAAGAAACAAACAAAAAAAAAGAAACAAACAAACAAAAAAAAAAGAAACAAACAAACAAAAAAAAAAGAAACAATCAAAAAAAAAGAAACAAACAAAAAAAAAAAAAAAAAAAAAAAAAAAAAAAAAACTGTTTCCACCAAGTCCAAGTATGCACTAATCCAGTCAAAGGATTGAACTCACAATTACTAAGTCACCAAATTCATGACCAAACACTTTAATCCGATAGGCTATTGTCCTGTGTAATCAAGTAATGCAATATTTCTTATGTTTAAAATGTATCAAAGCTAAGAAGATAGAAGAGATGACTGTACTTGATCATTAAGCTTTGCAGATCAAGCCACACAATACTATTGTTTTTCAAATAAACGGAGAAGGGATCCACTTACAAAAATTTTAGACCTACACTTTATTTGACGAGCCTACCTTTTAGTAGAATTCTATGATGGCAAACAATGCATATGATAAAAAAAAAAAAAAAAAATCAATGTCGATTGATCTTGATTGTATATTAGAATATTCTATTACCTTTGAAATCTGAACACATACCATCCAGATTTATACCTACTTACAGATACATTTTAATTACTTATTAGTGTCAGCTGGTATTTTGTCATTATTAGCACCACTAAGAATCTAGTTTCCATCCAGTTTTTTTTTCTTTATTTTTCTATCTTCAGAAAAATTAGCCCTAATTTTTATTTGGAGCTGTACCCAGTTTATTAAATTTGTTGGTTCCAATTTGCCAGGAATGACTGCAAAATACTTCCTCTTCATCAATTTATAAATAAAACCACACAAATGCATGCTGGTTTTTTTTTTTTTTTTTTTCCTAATCGATAAGATTAGGCCATCTCGGTCTTATCTGACTTAGTTGTGTCCTTTCTAATTTTGAAACTAGAACGCAACAATCACAAGTCCGTATCCCTTTTTGTGTGTTAAGACCAGTCATAGTTTGTGAACTTTTTACCTTATTACTGTTCCTTTGTCTTTTTACAGTTTCTTTGCCTTGCATATATTGTTTGCTTGCTTATTATTTTACCCTGTATTTTTCTTTTTCTTGTTATTGTTTATTGCAAACTTTATCAATTCTGTTTGTTGGCCATTTCTGTCAATTATATTTAACCATGGCCAATTACTCTACAACATCTTTGGAAATTGAAAGGCACCGTCTTATTTGTTACTGCTCAGTTTATTCAACAGACGAAAGTATAACCTTTTGTAAATGTGAATAAGGCGAAGAAGTTACGTCCCTTGAGTGCAAGGTGTCCGACTGTTTAACAGATTCATGAGGATATTTTTGCCTGTCAAATTAGCTGAAGCTCTAAAATTGAAATCAATTTAAACTGAAAACAAATAAACACATACTTACATGTACTTCAGTAGGTTGAAACCTGGTGCCAAGTTCCAAGAGGAAGACACAAAAGTATGTAACACTTTCAGAAACAGTGGAATCCTTGACTGCCTGCAAATTCAAAGAGATGACATTAGGTAAATATAAAAACAGAATTTATAATTATGAGGTGGTGATGATTCGGGGTGGGGTGAATTAAGTACTAATATAAGTTGTTTTTTTAAACAATCATAGTTCAAATAATAAAAAAAAAAACTTTCTTTTCTTCTTCATACTTAATATTTCATTAGAGTTTATTTCAAATGATATTGCAACTTTTATATTTTTGTTATTCCAAATTTCTTTCAGGTTTGAAAATTTTAACATTCCTCTAATGAAAAAGGAATAAAGGGTAGGAAAAGCTATAATATTTAGCAAGTTTCAAATTTTAATGTACGACATGAAAATTTGATGAAACTACTGACATAAATAATGCAAAGAGAGGGACCAATTTTGAATTTCTTATATCAAATTAGCACTAAGCTTGAAATTTCAGATAGTAGACAAATGCTTAGAATACAATGGACAAAGCATGTGAGCAATGAGGAAGATTTTAAGGAAAATGAAAACAAAAAGGATACTTATACTTAGAACCAGAAATGGACAGTTGAAATTGCTGGAATTTATGAGAAAAGAGTATTTGGAGAATTAGACACTCACAGGACATATTGAAGGGAAGACAGAAACACCAAGCAACCTACCTAACAAACTGGTATAAATGGATGTCTGAACATGAAGTGAGGGAGATAGTAAGAAGAAAAAAAATTGCTAGGAGTTGCAAACAATAGGAAGTTGAGGAGAGCCACAATCGCCCACATCCTGAAGGGGCATAGCTTATAGAAGAACTTGAGCAGAGAGGCAAAAGATTCTATAAATGTTTGAAATTTACTATACATATACAAGGGTAGATCAATAAATTTGTAGCCTAATACATAGTTACAAACTGAATTTTATTCTACATTTTTTCTTGTATTATGTTTAAGATTTACTGCTGCATTGTTTATAACACTGTTTCCTGGCTGTGGTGTACCTTTTGGGGGAAAATAAGAAATTTCCATTTACTTGAAACATGACTGAGTGATTTGTTTTTATAGATTATCAACTTTTTTCAGGTTAATTAAAGCCAGAAAAAAATGGTTTTTTAGATTGTAAGAATTTTTTAAGATAATAATGATTTACTGATACAAGTCCAACTAATTAACCAATAGCTGGAGGGAGAAGAGATTAATTCATATCTTTCCCAAGGGTATTTGCACACAAGTGAATATAATGAACCCAACTGGAATTGAAATTCAGAGAGCCGAATTCTAATTTCAAACTGTTATCCATTACACCACCTGCACATCCAAGATTACAAGACCTGGTATTCCTAAGCAGTCACCTATTTAAGTACTGAGCAGGCTTGATGTTGCTTAACTTCAGTGATAATTCAAGAACTGGTGTTTCAACATATGACTGTAAGCCCTTTACTTGAAATAAATGACTATAAAAAAATGCCATTTTGGCTTTGATCTGATACTCCGCAGTACAGACAGCCCCTACACATAATATAATAAAAACATATCACAAAACAGGTTGTACTGTACAGTATTATATGTCTACACTGGATTGGAAATAGTACTAAGTGCTAGTTAGTTTATAACAAATATAAATGCTTGGCACCAACATTTCAGTGTCTTGAAAATAGTACGTATATTGGGTTGACCAAAACGTTTGTTTGTGTATTAAGCAGAAAATTTCCTTAATAAACCAGACAAACTTTTGAATGAAAATTAAAGTTAAAAAAAAAAAAAAAAAGGGGACTTGTACTATACACAAGTACAAGAAATTTTTACACAGCTAAAAAAGAAAAACAAACCCAAACCATGCACACACACTTATTTGAAAAAGCAAGACTGAAAATACACTCAGGTAGCACAATCTATAATACAACACATAGTAGGCAGGTGTTAATAACAATTGCTTACAAAAAGTATTTGATATATCACCAATATTTGTTTTTCAGGAATCCATATAATTTAACTACTTTTGTCTCAAAGAATGTAAATTAACCATAATTGATTTAAAAACACTAATAAAAGGGAATACACAAGATCTGTCAGGTTTTGATAACCTTAATGTTACAACAAAGCACCTTTCAAAGAAATTCTAAAGTTTTGAAACAGAAATAAGAAACATGTAATGGCGAGACATGTGGTTCATTTCTATTCTTTAATATTGTGAAAATGAAATATTTTAATGAAGTATATATACAACAGATTTTAATAGTTAATATGGTACAACTTTAAAAAAAAAATTATACTCAAGTTATATTACTTCAGATACCTTGGTGTATTTATCTTATATAATCCTTCCTTGAGCATTGCAGACTGGTACCAAATAACAGAAACCACATCACATAAGGACTACCAACAACAGCAAGAACTAAAATGGATAGCACATGCAACTCAAAGAGAAAATAATGATATAATAAAGATGTTATCATTCCACACTACTTCAAATAAATGGTTAGAAAGAAAACCCCTATCAATACTGGAAAGAGTGATGACGGCTACTGGACTCGAGAAACCTATTTTCCTAAAAAATTGTTTTAAGACAAAGATTTGATAAATTTCAACTGAAAACAGTACTGGCTGCTTGATCAGTGTATACCAAATGTTTCCTTGTAGGTAAATTACTAATATTACCATTATCATTATACAGAAGAAAATATGTTAAGTTTATTATTAGACTTGAGTCTCAAGAATAAAAATATGCTGATCCTACCATTAAAATGAAGTGTCAAAAAAATAAAATAAACAAACAAAAACAATCAGTACTGTTCTGGGCAATGAAAGCATGAAAGAACATGATTAAATCATTATTTACTCTGTAGAGGACAGAAAACAGAAAGCCATGTAGAGTACGGCAATGCAGTATCTGTCGAAGTCCATCATATGCAGGCAGAATTTTCCCAGGAATTTTCAAAGGTGGCCATGGAGGAGACTTCCCAGAATATTTTCCACTGTGTTTCAAACTGGGAAAAAAAAAAAAGACTAAATCATCAGCTGAAAATGAACAGTTAACAGTGAATAAGAAAAATTCATGTATAAATTTCTAAGATGAAACATTTACATTATGACTATTGTCCTCATTTTTGTTGTTATGAACACAAATGTTTCAGCCATTGTGCCCTTCAGCCTTCATCAGCTGCTTGTCAATTGGAGTAATATTCAGAGAATTTTGAACAGAATTCTTTATTCTATAAGTCTAGATTGTTCTTGTTCTGCTACTCATGTCTAGGGATATACAGGATGTGATGGATAAATTATCATCTAAATTACGTAAAAATGAAAATAGACATATCATTTTAACAGATACATTTACCAAACTTACACAAAAATATCTTGAAATACTAAAGAGTAAATTTATTCAATAAAATCTCCATTGGCTTCAATCACGAGTTCCAGATGAGTTCAGAATCTCCTGCAACTCTTCTGGACAGACTCCATGTTAAAGTTGGTGAATGCTGCCATAATCAATGTCTTCAGTTCATCTTTAGTATTACAAGGAGTTTTGTTAGTCTCTCAGTCAACTGCACCCACACATAATAATCAAGGGGGTTAGGTAGCCAGATGTAAGGGGGTGATGTGCTTGCAGAAATTGTCTGACAACCGTGACTGGGCTCTCCTGCTTGTGTGGCATGATACAGAGTCCTTTTGCCAGACATAGGGTTTTCCAGCAGCCATTCTCTTGACCCAGGGCAGCACAACCTCCTTTAGGCACTTGATGTAGGCCTTGGTGTTGAGTTTGAGGCCCTTGCCAACAAATTCAGTAGTTCTTTTCTTATCAGAATTATCGAAGCAAATTTTCCGAACTGCCATACCTTTGTAATTGCCATTAAACATCAAAATCTTTTTGAATCCTCTGCACTGTCCCCAGATTGACACCCAAACACTCTGAAATGTTCATATTGGAGCTTCTGGTGTGAATGCCAAACAGTACAGCATACTGTCTCCAAATTTCTGGCAGAATGAATTGTGTCATGATCTTTTTCTTACAAATAGCGCCCAACTGACCATACTGATCATAATGTGCAGCCAACAAAATCAAAAACAAACAATACGCATGTGCAAAATTAAAAATATATAATGGCGACAGTTTACCCATCACACCCTGTATGTTTTTTATTTTATTTGGTAGTGCTCAGTTAAGAGGCATGGTGGATTAATGGATAGCAGCTCGGATTGAGGAATCTGAGAGCCAAGTTTGAATTCCAGTCGAATCCATTCACTTACGTGCTAATACCCTTGAGGAAGGATATGAATCCTCTTCTAAGCTATGGGTAGATAGCAGGACAGACCGGGTTCTATAGCCTTGGATGGCAACTGGTCTACCACAGAAAGAAATGGCAACCTAGTGCGGGAAAAAAAACTGCCTCGTCAGTCATGTATCGAAAGATACATGATCACCTAAGCATATATCATGCATGGCACATAATTGACAGTGCTCAGTTATCATTTGCCCTGGATAGCACAAACTTAGACTCAGCAATATCTGAGCAATATCTAAGTATTACTGAATAACAAACAATACAATATATCCCTATACAAAGTCAGTGAATCAAGAACAATCTACCCCTGTAGATTAAGTATTGACTTCAGTTTGAAGTCAACCAAAGGTTACTCAGATCAACAAGCAACTGAAGAAGGCTGGGTGGCATAACAACTGAAACTGTGAGGATTAAAACAACAAAGATGAGGACAATAGTCTGAATGTAAATGTTGTAAATAAACTTATTGATTTTTTTTTTTTTTTACTTCAAGAAAAAAAGTAAAGAATATTCTTTAGATAAGCAAGCAGATAAAATTATTGCTCACAATATGTCTAATAAAAAACATGAATAGTTTCAATTACAAACATGTAATTTCTCACCTAAAATAAGTTAAATAGTATCTAAAATTTATTTGGGATTGTATTTTTTTTTCAAATTTTCAGCATAAAGTTTAGTAGTCTTTATAACTCTTGGAATGACTTCTCAAAATTATCGAAGGTACTAAAAAAGTAAAATAACAAAATTACATAAATTTCTTAAAGTAAATAAGATATAAAATAGTTACCTCCACTGAATTTTCAATACCTAAGATTTTAAATGAATTTTAAAAAATCAAAATGCATTCTTGAAGCTTTCATTTTAGCTTTAATTGAAAGCTAAATGATTAAATTTACTATTTCCAATAAGCAAAGTACTCTGATGTATTTCAAATAGGAATCAGATTATTTGGAATCTCAACTTTTTGGTTGCTTTCACAAAATCAGACACACTTGTAAACAAAAGTTAAATCTCAGTTTTAAAAATCTTCCAAAAATAAAATATACTTTTCTGAAACGTTTTTTATGACACAACATGCCTTTGCATAGGCCTGTTTATATTGTTGCAGATTATCTGTTGTTGAATTAAGTTTAAATTTTCACAGTTAATTTTTCCTATGTTTTATAGCTTCTTTACATTTGGTTGTACGCCAAGCTTTATACGCTGTATTTGACTAGATGTTTTGGGAATTGTTTGTTCTATGTTTATTAATGTATTAGTGAAAGCTAACACTGGATTGGATTTCTCATCAATTTGTGTTTGGCATATATCAATAAATTTTGGCCATTCTGCTTTATTGAGCTGCTATCTTGGTGTTCTTGCTTCTGGTATTGGTTTTACAATGTCTATGCAAATAGGGAAGTGATCACATCCACACTGATGATCCATTGTAGATCCAGAAATAAGGAAGGAGACATTGCTCTAGTGGCTAGATGAACGTAGGTATTGGCTTTATCATTTAGAAGATATGAGATCATAATTTTGAATTACATTTTCTATAATACTTTCACTGGAGTTAGGTTTATGAATGCTTCAGAGTACACTAGCGGTATTAAAATCTACCAATAGTATAAAGTGGGTGGTTAGTTGTTCTGCAAATTTATTTATTTCCACTTGTTTTAAAGTATTTTTTTGGTGGGTGTATATTGAGCATACTGTGAAGGATCGATGGATTGTGATCCTAACAACAGTAGCTTGTATTCTTGTGTCTAGTTTTAGTACATCATGGGGGGGTATTTTTAACCAGTACTGAGGAGTATGGGAGGCACGGTGGAGTAATGGATAGTGGCACAGACTGAGGAATCAGAGAACAGAGTTCAAATTCCAGTTGAATCTATTACATTCATATACATGCTAATACCCTTGGGAAAGGTATGAATTCACTTTTTCTCCACCCCAGATATGGATAAATAGCATAACAGGTCAGGTTCTATAGCCTTAGATGGCAACTGGTCTATCACAAGAAATGGCAACCTACTGCAGGAAAAACATCTACCTTGTCACTCATGTATCGAAAGATACATGATCACCTACGCGCGTATCACACATGGCACATAACTGACTGAGGAGAATTATTATAAGGTTAATAACCATTGAGTGTAATATTCTCTCAGCATTGTTTCTTGTAGGCATATTAGATTGTTTTCTGTTATAAGCATCTGCATTTTTTCATAGTCCTCTGCAGTTCTACTGAATAATATTTGCTTTATATTTCATTTTGGTGTTTTGTATAGTAACTGAAGAGCCTATATCAGTTTCTATATTTTCAAGATTTTCAAATCTTTTCATTTCAATTTAATGGATTCATGTTGGCTTTCATTTTTCTTTTCTTCTTGATGTTGATCAATGTTTTTTTTTTTGTGAGTTTAGCATTTCATCATTTTTGTTAACTGTCTTTGGGGTGATGTTTGATTTGTTCATGGTGATTGTTTCTATGTTGGATATATTCATTTTTTAGGATTTTAATCAAGTTTTGATTGATTGAATTGGGCCTCTCCAACTGCTCATCTAGCCCAAGTAAGAGGCAAAGTGGTGTGTTGGAATTCAGGAGCATATCAACCCAGCTCCTGAAGCCATCAGCCATCAAGAACTCGTTGTCAGGCATCATGGGTTGCCACCCACTTGCACCTTTAACTGTATCATAATTTGATGCATCTTCAATACTAACACCTGAATATACTTCATCTGCCCTACCTATCAAGACACTCTAGTAAAATTGGCCAGAATTGATGTGGCCATTTTAAATTTTCTACTACTTTTTCAAATTGTGGAAAATATTTATCTACTGATTTTACTGAAAATTTAGGAATCAGTTATAGTATTTTTTGCTGCATCAAAATCAGAAAAAAAGGAAATTGGAATTTTGAGAATTTTTTTATTGCGTGATTGTTTTCATTTACAATTTTTCATCTTTCCAATTTTTCTTGTTCAATTTTAATTTTTTTTTTTAATTCTTGTCTTTCTTGTATTTCTAGTTTTTTTTTAAATTCTAATTGTAAATGTAAATTATTTTGAGATTTTCCTTTGAAGTTATATGAATGTAAAATTTCTACAAGTAATTTTTCCGCTAAAATATTTTTTATTTCTGCTTTCTTCATACATGTATTTGCATTTAAATTAAAATATGTAGCAAGTTATGCTAATTAAATTTTTTTTTAAAATTCAAATGTTTCACCCAGGTTGGCTAAAGACAAAATCTCTTCAATAGAAAATGACATTTTTACTAGCAAGGTCACAATAGCAAGTTTTAAAATATAAAAATATCACAAAATAATTTTGAGAAGTTATTTTACTCAACAGAGACAATTAAACAAAGGAATGGGAAATTGTTGAAACAATTTTGTTTTAGTTAGGACAAACCTGTATTTTGTCATGTGTGTGACAAAAGAAATAAGAGGAGGAAAAGCAAATGGAATAACAGGAAGTTCAACTGAATTTTATTGTAAACAAAAAAAGAGGTCTTATTTTAATTTTAGTGATTTGGTCAGTGACTAAAAGGAAAACGGAAAGGCTTAGCGACAAGAAGTTAGAAATACTTCAAAATAACTTCAGTAAAGAGTTGCTGGGTTTTGTCACACAGTATAGTTTACAAATTTAGAAACAATTCTGAACCAGATTTCAATAACAACTGACTGCCAGCCAACTCAATTAATTTTGGTGCAAACCAACAAATACCCAGATGAAAGGCCTCCAACTTTGTAAGGTAATCCAATCACATCAATGAGTTCTTTGAAGTCTTTGATCTAAATCATCCAGAATTCAGGAGTTCCATTTGTAAAACTAGATTCTCTTAACTCTCTCTATATTATATATATATATATATATGTTACATTAATACGCAGCCAAGATCCTAACCCTCAACACACTTTACACCTATAGTGAACCATCTGTTTTTCCTTCTCTCTCTAAGTATGAAGTTTACCCACTCTCTTTCTTTCAAATTGTTGAAGTCAGCAGTTGGATGAACAATTTGACTGGCCTTAGAAAGAAAATTGAATAGTATCTCACACACACAATCCAATATGAAAAGTAGCATGGGAAAAATGTCTGAAGCGATCAACACTTTTTCTTTCGTTATTGTCAACTAAAGAGGATTGCATAATGAAGAGACTGAAGCCTAGTCCTAACTCACACACACTATACCACATGTGGACATATATTTGATAGACCAAACAGTCCAAGACCAAAATGCACTGGTGAATTATTCAATGTGTTAATCTCCGAAGAAAAGAGCGTGTGTAATTCATCTAATTATTGAATTTGAGAAAGCAATGATCAACACGATGCCAAATCTTAACTGAAAGAGAAATTTTATATTACTGAAGACATGAAAATGGAATAACCATCACTTGGGGCCAAAACTTGCAACAATAAAGAAAGGGAAACCAAATTTAAAAGACATTCTTGCACATGCAAATATAAAAACAAAGGATAGAAATGAAAGAGACAAAAAGAGAGAGAGAGAGAGATAAAAAGAAAAAAAGAGAGAAATATAAAAAAGGAGAGAGAGAAAAAGATAAAGAGAAAATATGTTTTATTTCAAATAATGGACAGAATCTAAGTGCTTCTTTTGATTTTCATATCACATACACTGCACACAACTTTACATGCAGACATATTTTCTATGTTGTTCTAATGTATACTTAAATCTGGTGAAGTCTTATTCTGGTGTTTGTCACTATTGGTTATTTCTCCTTATCAATGCTTATTTAACCCTGCCAGAGAACCCACCACAGAGTGGAAACCTTGGCCATATCCTTTGGCAACTAGTCATTTACTTTTACCATCTTTTTATATTTTGTGTCATGACAATTGGTGTGTGTGTATGTATATATATATATATATATATATATAAAAATACATGCACGCACACAAAATCACTGATATTGTACACTTTTACCCATAAATACAGCATACCTTAAAACTAAACATCTGTTAGCAGGGCTACAAAATTTCATAATAGTGATAAAAAACAAAGATTAAAACAAGAAAAAAAATAACAAAAAAAAAGATGTCATGAAAAGAACAAAAGAAAAATTTTATATTTCTGTAAAGTGGTAATAATGGTTCCAATCAACTCAAAATGACTGCTAAAAACCTAATATTATCAGTATTGAATATATTGAATAGTTTTTTTTTCTCATCTTATTTCTATTGCCTTTTCAAATCAATAATGCTTATTTAATGATTGCAGATTGTAAAAACGATCTGAATATTGTGATAAAAGCAAAATCAAGACTGGAGAAAGAGAAAAAAAAATAGTCAAAAATTACTCTTGCTTGCACTTACTAAGCTTGATACCGATCCATGCTTGATTGAACGTCTTTCTTGTAAACGGACCGTGTGGAGACTTGAATTGGATCAAACTCTTTTTCCCAGAGGATATCTGAAAGACAAAACCCAATTCATATAAAATTAAAGATAAGATGAAGAAGATGAAACAAAGTGCAAAAATAGAATGTGTATTAAATAAAAATTCTTTGACAGATATAAAATAAATAAATCAATCCTTACTTTTTGGTACATATGTCCCTTGCTGTAAGCCACCACCAGACTCTAAAACAGGGGCTTTGTAATCTGCAACCTGATAAAAAAAAGTCATATTCATTCCAAACTCCTATGATTAAAAAAGTTAGCTATTTAAATCACTGTCTGCTTGCATAAGGCCTGTGAACATTATCAAATAGGATGGTTAGGATTCTGTAGTAATTTCTAACTATTTGTAGCTGGGATATATTCTATTGTGACATCAAATTACCAAAAGAGCACATCAGTTGTTTTCAGGCAATCATTGTTTTCATCATCACAGAATCGTTGACTTTGTACAGGGTGAAGATAACAGTAAAAAAAAAAAATAAAAAAATAAAAATTATCTTGAATCACAAACAAATTCAATGCTTGAATAGGAAGACCAAAAATATAGAAAATTCTTAAGCAACCCCTCGGCAGCTGTTCTGAACAAGTTACAGTGGAATGATTCATCATTATAACACAATGGGAGGAATTATGGTGTGGATTTCATTGAATTTTAACTCATCAATACTTCTCTATCAATTTCTCTTTCGAACTATTGATTGATTTGTTTTCTACAGGTTATCAACCCTTTGCAGGTTATTTAAAGCCAGAAAATATTTTTAGATTCTAAGAATTTTTTTTGGAGATAATAAAGATTTAGTGATACAAGTCTTACTAATCAACACATAGCTGGGGAGAAAGAGGTGGATTCATACCTATCTGAATTTGGAAAACAATCATTGAAATTATAATATGGATATAAAGTAGGGGATCATTCTATATAACAATTAATATATAAAATGATCCCTCACTTTGTGGACACTGTATTTTCTATACATTTATAAATAAATCTAAAAGACATGACTAGATAATCAGGATTTCATTGATTGATTCATTTTTATGGCTTATCAAGCCAGGAAATATTTTTACATTGTAAGATTCTATTTTTTTTTTTTAAGATAATAATGATTTAGTGATACAAGTCTTACTAATTAACTCATAGCTGGGGGAGACAAGGTGGATTCATACCTTTCCTAATGGTATTTTCACATAAGTGAATATAACAAAATCAACTGGAATTCAAACTCAGCTCTCCAATTAATAATTCCAAGCCATTATTCATTACACCACCAGCACATCCAAGTTTTGTGCCCCTGATATTCCTAAACAGTCACCCATTTAGGTACTGACCAGGCTTGCAGTTGTTTAGTGTGGGTGATCGTACAGGAAGCAGAGTTCCAATGTGACATGCCTGTATGCTTTCCAACTATTGACATGAAAAAGTTGACCACTTTTATTGAACTGTTTTACAACTGATTTTTTTGATGCAAGGTAACCCTAACATTGTTCTCATTAAACAAACAAAGACAATATATTGACCGTCTTGCTTTGAACGTGGGCTAGTGACTGATAGTATTATACATAAAAACAAAATTCTCTACTACTCATTTCTTGTTCAGCTTCCAAAATCACACTTACCACAATTGGCTGTGGAGAAAATGACAACCAATTTGATAAATGGAAACTGGAAAAAAACAAATTATTTTTCAACTTGCAATCCCTTTCTCTCAGATGAAACATTTAAAGTTTCTTGCTACTCTATTACTATTTCCTAGGAAAGTGTTCAGACAAACAACATTCCTTGGTTCCACCAGTTCTAACCATGATGACTAAGACCTGCCATGCCACGTACATTGTAGCAAACCACATGCATTCCTTTTGTATTACATTGTTTCTTTGTGGAACCAACTTCTAATAGAAAGCTTCCCTGATCACTACAATTTTCAAGTCTAGAGTCAACTTATCTTCCCCAGCTATCTCCATAAACTGAACCTCTTGCTCTGTAACCTTCTATTTCAAGTGGCTCTTGGACCTTGTATAGGGTGAACATCATTGTTAACGAAAAAAAAAAAAAATAAATAAATAAATAAAAGAAGACAAATTAAAGAAGCAATATTATTTGTTGGGGACGGGAGGAACTTTAATCTCACCACGTATGTTCGTTCTGGATTACAAGAAAGCGTTCTATGCCTTGGATCAGTGCGACAATGCACTAATATGACACCTTCCCCCTTACAGTCAAATACAGTAACGACAAATGAACACAATATAACACTGTCAACTTTTGAATCTTATTAACTTTAATTTGTTTTTTATTTAAATTTGCCTCTAGTCCAGATTCAAGAGAGTGGAGAACCAGACAAACCTTTTATTCTTAATGAGCACGTTCGTTCTAAATTACAAGCAAGAGTTCTGGCCCTTGGATCAGTGCGACAGTGCACAAATACAATGCAGACCAAAAAAGAAATAAAATTAACAAATTTTACCCACCATTTTTAAAGTTTGTTCAAAGTAAGCTCGACCATGGATGGCAAGTCCTGATTTCTCTGGCATAAGATCCATCAATTGGCTGTGTGTCCGATCATTAACACACAGAAGGGCGACCATCTCTACATGAACAAGTTCTTTTTCTGTAAGACCTGCAGTATAAACAAGATAAACGCTGTCACTTATCGGACAAATAAAATTTTTCTTTTCTCAGGTGCAGTCATTAACACACAAAAGATTTTTTTTTAAATAAAAACTTAACTCACTCCGAGGACTGTGAGACAACATGTAAGTGTCCATATGAAACTTAGTCACAGAAAACAGTAACATGAATATTGTAATATTCAATTGTAATATTAGGAAAAATATTCATGAATATGAAAAGATTATGATAAAAATAATTAGACATAATGTTTGTAATTTATTCAATCAGATATGCCTAAAAATGAATTTACTACCTAAATACATACATACATATATATATCTCAGGGACATACCAGTAAGTTAGGCAGTGCCTCATCAGCTACATTTTCCTTCTGTGGCACAATATGCACTTAATCCAACAAAATTATGAAGGTTACCCTGATTATTATGCAAAATATTTTATTTTTTGTAGATTTACTGCATAAAAGATCACAAGATGCCTATCCTGAGTAATTACTGATGGCACATGTCTTGTGTGTGTGTGTGTGTGTGTAAAATTTCAAATATGTTATAACTAAAAATATATCTATAAAATATATCTGTAAAAGGAAAATATGAATAAAGACAAAAAGCAAACTTATCTTAGTGGACATGTTTCATCCTCTGATGGACTTTATCAAGGCAAATTTAAGGATTAAACCGTAACGTTCTATTATTTAAAAACATGTAATACATAAATTAATACCAAACTAAAATAAAACAAATATTAATTACATTATTTTAAAAAAAATATTTTTATAAAATAAAAACATTTACTCACTTTTGTTTTAAATTAAATTACATCACTTTAAAACCTCCATAATTTACCTTGACTTTTCAGATTTAAAGCATATTTGTGAATGTTCTTAAATTTTAAAATTTTGAAAATTAAAAAAATTTTGCTTTTGTTTATAAATGTGTTGCAAAATAAAATCCTTATATTTGCTTTTATAAAGTCCAGCAGATGACAAAACATGTCAGCTAAGTTTTGCTTTTTTCAGAGTGGCATCAGGAATTATGAAATCAGTCCTATTGACCTGCTAAGAGATGAAAGACAATAGCGAAAAGCATCAGCAAAATGTTCCTATTGCTATGTCCCAAGATCCTCAATGTTACACAATATGTGGACTTGTATGCAGGTCATTAGTGAGACTAAAGTGTCACATATGACACAAACATAAAAACAGAGTGAGGTTGTCAGATTCTCATACATCAAAATTCACAGGAGAGTCCATCACCATATATACATATTCAAAAATATTTGGAAATGTTCTTGAAGATAATTAATTTAAAAGAGCTAACATTAAAATTATTAATTCATGTAAGACATATTTAGTTCTGTATTAAGAGAAGAAATAATGAAAAATTTAATGCAATTCAAGAGCAGAAAGTATTGTGACATAATATCCGTGTTAAAAACATAAGTGACAGAGTGAAATTAGTCAACAAGATTTACACATTATTTATATTCTGACTACTGTCCACATTTTTGCTGTTGTCATCAAAGCATTTTGGTTGTTTTGTCCTCTAACCTTCTTCAGGTCCTCATAGTCTGGGTAACTTTCAGGGAATTTCAAACTGAACCCATTATTTAATTCATGTTGTCCACTGCTTACCCGGTTTCCACTGAGTTTAAATCTGCACTATTTGGCCTATGGATTGAACTGACAATTATGATGTCATCAAATTCATTAACCAATGCTTTAATTTAATAATTAAACAGTCTGATCCTTGAGACACTTTTTGGCAGAGGCTCTAGTCAACTCAAGAATTGGTTAAACACCTAACCTCACAGAATCCTCTTTCAGATAAACAATATAACTTTCGCTTCTCTAGGTCAACTGCTGATGTATTATGATGTATATTGCAGAATCTAATAAGCTTTAGGGAAGAATGGTAAAGCTTGGGCTATTGCTTTGGATATCTCTCAGGCGTTTGACAGGATTTAGCATGCTGGTCTTCTTCACAAGTTGAAAGGTTATGGTATTTCAGGCCAAATTTTCGAACTGATTCAATCTTTATCAAATCACAAAATTAAAGTTATCTTGAATGGCTACTCTTCAAGATTTTTATTAATGCTGGTGTGGGGTGCTATCCTTAGACCGATGTTGTTCTTAATTTTCATCAATAACGTTCCTGATGTCAAAAGTTCTCAACTTGATATCTATACTGATGACAACTATTTACTCCTGGCTCTAAAAAAAAACAAACAAAAAAAAAGACACACAAGCTGTGGTTAACTGGGACAAGGAATGGCTTGTTAATTTTTATCACCTCCAAATTGAAACTGTTCACCTTTAATCCTCTGAGAGAAGCCTTTTTACCTTCCATCAGCATGATTGATGCTAACCTCCAGAAGAGAAACTCATTACATCTTCTCAGGTTAACATTTTCCACTGATATGAAGTGGAAATATTGAATCAATTGCTAGGTTTGCTGCATCAAGCTAGACAATTTTTCTTGCCAAAATCTATCTTACACAATTATAAGTCTACCATTCATCCAGGCTTTGAATATCGCTGCAACATTTGGTTTAGTGCTTCTGCTATGTGTTTAGAGATTCTTTATAAAATTCAAAGAAGAATCTGCAATGTTATTGGTCTTGACCTGGTATCTTGGCTTCAATCAATTTCCCACTGCCATAACATAACTTCCCTGTGCCTTTTCTATAAATATTTCCATGGTAATTGTTCTGATAATCTTTCCTGTATTGTACCTAGACTTTATGAATTTAAGCACAGTACTACAGTTGAAATGACTTGATGTAACCATAAGTTCTATGCAAATAGTTTCTTCCTTCACACTTCTTGCTTGTGGAACTTGTTGCTTTTCAGTCAACTATAGTCTTCAAAAATTTAAATGCAATGTCATTCATTATCTTGTCTCCTTGAATCCTGCTCTTTTATTGTCTCATTCTTTTCTCATATTCTCTCACACTCATAACTCCTTGCTTCTTAGTGCCTTTATTGCCTTGATTTGAGTAATTTAAAAAAAAATAATGTTGCTCTGTGGGACAATCCCAAGTCTAGAACTTGAAGCTTTAAATCTAATCTAACAACAATTTTTCTTGCCAGAATCTATTTTACACAATTACATGTCTTTTCTTTCTTTCTTCTTACAGCTGCTCTTTATTTATTAATGGCTCTCATATTGCATTTATTTCTATGCTAGGTCTGCAAAGGAGGACTTCTTAACCTTGCATATGTACTAATTCATTAAGATGTCTGACTCACCATTCATGCATTATTGGTGCTAATATATTCATCTTTGCTGATTGCATCAGAATATTTTGGCAAGTGTGTTGGTATGAAATAAAAATAACTCTGGGAGTGTAATAATATTTCATTACAGACTTTCAGACAATAGTGGTTAACTCATCATGAAAAATGATGAGAATCTAATAGGGAATGTGAGCGATACTAAATGCGTCTTAAAGAAAAGCTAAGAACTTAAGAGAGAAGAGGAGGGTAAGCATGAGGGAGGCAGGGAAGTAACAGACACATACACCACTTACCCAGATAGGTACGCACTGACTGCAGCATAGCTAAAAAGAACAGCGCATTCTCTACCATTGTCATTTCTTGTTCAGCTTCCAAAGTCACACCCACCACAATTGGTTGTGGAGAAAATGACAACCAATTTGATAAATGGAAACTGGAAAAAACATTAATAAGAAATTAAAACATTTTTTTATTTTTTAAATTCTAAATTATTTAAACCAGTCATGGACAAACTGCAGCCTGCAGGCCACGTGAATGACACACCTAATTTTCATGAGAAAAATAATGTTTATTAAAAGTTTCATTTTGTTCTCACTTGTTCACAAACACACATTCATATACATAACCACATATATATAACAATGATTAGGTATGTTTCTTGAATTTTATAACCTATTGTTGAAAGTAATATTTTCAGTACTTTAAACCATTGACAATTTACACTAAGGAAGATCATAAACATCTTTTGCTTTAGAAACAGGATAAATATTTTTTGGCAAATGTACCTGGATTTATTGGAATAAAACTAATGGTACAGAAAGTACTTGAATGTGGTTGTAGATGTGCAGAAATAATTAACAGTTTTAACCTGTACAAATTTTATTAATCATACTTATTATAAAACCCAGGTTGTGTGTGTGTGTGTGTGTGTACACGTTTATATATTGGATCGGATTTCCCACATTTTTCAACTGATTTCAACAAAACTTCACAGGACTACGTAAAATTACCTTGCGGTGGTTCTGACAGTGCCAAAAATTGGAAAAACACAATTGTTTTTGTACAAAATCAATTTGAAAACACGATTAAGAGGCATCGCAAAAATGAATGGGGGACAACTTATATCGAGTTATACTTATTATAAAACCCAGGTTGTTTGTGTGTGTGTGTGTGTGTGTGTGTTTGTTTATATATGGGACCAGATTTCCTACATTTTTCAACCGATTTCAACAAAATTTCACTTTTTTGGCAGGTAGTGTTTCTTATTGGCTTGCACACTTTTTTCTTTATCTTTACATTCAGAATGCTTTAAAAATTCCATTTACAAGACAATTGTTTATAATAAAATTCTATTCAATCAGTAGGCTCATAATGATTGAAAACAATGTTTTTGTTTGAGTTTGGGTTTGACCAATTCCTTGAAAAAAAAAAAAAAAACAACTAATTAAGATATGCGTGTCCGTCAACCTTAAACAACAATCTTTGTCAATTTTATTTTTCAGTCTTTATGATGGTCGATACTTGATCTATCTCTTACTGTTACATCTCCGGGCAACGCCGGGCTCTACTGCTAGTTCTTTATAATAACTCTGCTGCCCTGTAGGGTTTGCTTTTTGAGGCAAAGACTAGGTGAAGGAAAACTCTGATATAAAACCAACAAGACCCCAATGGCGGAGCATAGTAGTGATGGTGGAGGAAGGCAACACCTGTCGGGCAGGTGATAAGGCGAGACTTGAAAAAAAATGAGAACCCAGCAGCCCAATGCAACTAGCATCATGGAGGTCGCCTGTCTCGTTTCTCTTGAGCCGCGGTGGAAGCGATGCTGGCCGAGTGTGTGTGCGTGGACATCATGCAGCCACGACCACCTAAAACAATATCCTCAGCAACTGGCATTCTGTTGTTTCTTTTTCTTTTCTTTTTTTCACCTATTTTCATCCTTTCACCTCCATCATCATCACCCAAGTCCTGTGGCGATAGCACCGCGAGCAACAGGAGCAGGCCTGAAATGCTGGAAGCCTTCAGCCCGCGAGTGCACACAGGTGGTTGCTCTCTGGTGACATTGCTGTGACACCCGAGTTTGGCAGCTGGATCCATGACTGGGCTGGCCTATTGAGGACCACTGCAGCCCACCCCACATGGGGAAGCCCCTAGAAAAGGTGGGGCAAACATCAGACATGGCGACACATCTGGCTGGCGGACATCCCTCTACTGCGGTCCTAACAATGCAAAAAGTTTAAACAATAAAAATATCCTTACCCTTGGTGCTTGGAACATCCGCACCCTCCAAGATGTGGCGAACACTACCCACTCGGAAAGACGCACAGCCCTCATCTGCAAGGAGCTTGCCCGATTCAACATAGATGTGGCGGCCCTCAGTGAGACTAGACTGCCTGAGGAGGGCAACATCAGGGAAGCTGGAACAAGTTATCTTCTGGAAGGGGAATGCATCCGAGGAGCTGCGCAGACATGACGTTGGCTTTGCCATCTGGTCACAGCTTGTGCGGCAGCACAACCTCACTCCCATGGCCATCAGTGAGTGTTTAATGACTGTCCACATTCCCATCATGCGGGGCAGACACATCACCCTGATTGCAGTATACGCACCGACTCTGACCTCACCTGACGAAGACAAAGCCGCATTTTACACCCAGCTCGACCATACCATCCAGAGAGTGACCGTCAACGACAAGCTCATTGTACTGGGTGACTTTAATCCCAGAGTAGGCAGGGCCCATTGCCTGTGGGAGGGAATAATTGACCACCACGGTATCGGGAACTGTAATGCCAACGGTCAACTCCTACTGGGTCTCTGTGTGGAACATGAACTTGTTGTGACCAACACTATTTTCAGACTCCCGAATCGACAGAAGACAACATGGAGGCACCCCCGGTCCCAACACTGGCACATTCTGGACTATGTCCTAACCAGAGCCAGAGACAGGGGAGACGTCCGCATCACCCGATCCATGCCAGGAGCGGACGACTGCTGGACGGATCACAGGCTCCTGATCTCCAGACTATTCATGAGGACAGTGTACCACACCGACGCTTTGACTGTAGCAATCTCCGCGTCCCACAGCTGGCACAGAATTTTAGAGAAGCCTGCGAACGCCACCTTGCAGACCCAGTGGATCAGGCCACTGTGGAGCACCACTGGACCACCCTCAGAGACGCCATCGGCTACTCAAACAAGAAAAGACAGGACTGGTTTGATGAGAGTTACGGGTCCATCTCGCCCCTCATTGAAACTAAACGTCAGACATGTCTGACTATGGAGAACCAGCCTACAGCTACCAATAAATGTGCTCATAAACAAGCCGTAGCTAACTGCCAAAGAGGCATACAAGAAGCCCAGAACACCTAGTGGCAAAGAAAAGCAGCAGAAATACAAAGCTACGCTGACCAACGAGACCTGCGCAGCTTTTATGCAGCAACCAAGGAAATTTTTGGTCGCACACGCTCATCAGTGGGCGGACTAAAGGATGTGGACGGGGCTACAACCATCACCGACAGCAAGGATATTCTGGCAAGGTGGAGGTCTCACTTCGAGAACCTCCTCAACGACCAGGTCAACACGCCAGACGATCTCCTGTGAATGACCCCGCAGCATCCTGTCCGTCACTGGATGGCACTACCACTCTCCATCCAGGACTTCAAGTATGAGACCCGGCAAAGCACCAGGATCCGACAACATACCACTGGAGCTCCTCACCCACAGTGGCCCCAAGATGAGGAACTGTCTCATGCTCCTTATATTGAAGATTTGGGAGACAAAGACCTTCCCCATCGACTTCCGCGATGCAACGGTCATGACAATATTCAAAAAGGGAGACCGTGAGAACTGCAACAACTACCAGGGAATTTTTACTGCTAAGCATCGCCAGCAAGATCTTCGCCTGCATTCTCCTAGACCATCTCCTCGTCCTCGCCAAAGATGCCCTGCCAGAGTCCCAGTGAGGTTTTCGACCTTCCCGCGGGACTATTGACATGATCTGTGCACGACAAATACAAGAGAAGAGCCTCGAACAGTAACAGCCCGCAATTTTCATCTTTTGGGACCTAAAAACGGCCTTCGATAAAGTACCCCGACCTGCTTACTAGGTTTGGCTGCCCACCCAACTTTGTCGCCCTGGTGCGCCCTGCATGACGGAATGGTGGGGAGAGCATGCCACCAGAACTCCCTCTCAGACCCATTCCTCATTATTGGTGGCCTGAAGCAGGGGTGAGTTCTGGCACCAACGTGTTTCTCTCTCTACACAGCAGCAATGCTAAATAAGATACCACCAGACACCCTGAATTGACCTCTGTTACCACTTGGATGGAGGAGTTTTCAACCTCGCTTGACTTTGTGCCAGATCCAAGACCACCATGTGTTCGGTACGGGAGCTGCAGTACGCTGACGACAATGCCACCCCAGGTCAGACTGCAGAGGACCTCCAGTCACTAGCGAATGCATACATGGTCTATGAACGATTTGGAATGCAGGTCAATACAGAAAAGACCAAATTATTAGTTCAACCACCACCCAGACTGCCGCTCCCAAACACTAACACCACTGTCAATGGCCAACCGCTGGAGCAAGTAGATCAGTTCTTGTATCTGGGGAGCATTCTGACATCAACACCCACATGCAGAAAGGACGTGGAGAATAGAATCAGGGCAGCCCACTCCACCTTTGGCCGACTCAACTGCCGCATATTTAAAAACCATGCACTGACAATGGCCACCAAAATCATGGTCTTTTGGGCAGTAGTCCTCTCCACCCTTTTATATGCTTGCAAAACATGGACCCTATATAGAAGCGAGGTAAAAATGCTAGAACGCTTCCAGCAACTGAAACTAAGGCAAATCCTTAACATCTCTTGGGAGAGCTACACCACCAACACAGACCCTCAGTGAGCAGTGTTGAGGCTACTATCATCTACCACCGCCTCCGCTGGGCAGGACACATCCACAGGATGGATCCTTCCAGGCTCTCCAAAAAAATCCTATATGGTGAGCTGGCCATTGGGACCAGACCACGAGGATGTGCTACAAGGACCAACTAAAGCGCACCCTGACACTTACCAACATCAGCTCGTCCTCGTGGGAAGAAACTGCCAGGGACTGAACGACATGGAGGAGATCAATACGTGATGGCATCGCGGACTTCGAGGAAAGGAGGAGGGAGAATGAAGAGACAAGGCAACTAAGGAGAAGAGAGCACTGTGAACGACCCTGTCCTTCCCTTACCCTCCCCTGTGAGCACTGTCCGCGACTATTCCACCACCGACTGGGCCTCACAAGTCATGTCAAACATAAACATCAACCGTGAAGATAGGACTTAAAAAATTGACAGAACCCAATACTCAGACACGACTGGGAGCCGACAAAAATAACTCAAAGTTGTTAATTTTATTTACATGTGAATATTTAATTTTGGTTTGGTTTGGTTTATTTAACGGCATATCAACCTCAATGGGTTATTTAATGCTGACAACATTTTAGGATACATTCGTATGAATAGAGTATGTATTCTTTGGTTTAGATTGGTTTGGTTTATTTTGTTTAATGGCATCTCAATCTCAATGGGTTATTTAATGTTGACAAAAATTTTTATTGCTGGTAATATTTTGTTTTGTCAAAAATCTGTTTCTGGTAATATGTTTCCTTCAAAATTGTATTGCTGGTAATAATTTTTTTCAAAAAAGTATTGCTGGTAATAGTTAACTATTTGCCCATAGCTGGGACCCTAACAGGTGCTACCACCCTGGGTCAGGGTGGACCTGGGAACATCAGCAATTAAGAGGTGGTTCCACGCTCCTCAAAACCTCCTGATCAGAGGCCTTGTTGCTTGACGTAGTTTAACGTCTTACCCAGGGCGCGGATCTAGTTTAACGTCTTACCCAGGGCGCGGATCTAGTTTAACGTCTTACCCAGGGCGCGGATCTAGTTTAACGTCTTACCCAGGGCGCGGATCTAGTTTAACGTCTTACCCAGGGCGCGGATCTAGTTTAACGTCTTACCCAGGGCGCGGATCTAGTTTAACGTCTTACCCAGGGCGCGGATCTAGTGTAACGTCTTACCCAGGACAAGTTTTCTAATTTTAGACACTACACTGTTCAGTAATAAGCAGGTTTTTTAATTTTATAATTTTCTTTGAGTTCTTTATGAAAATTTACCATATTATATTTTTTATGTTCACTGTAATTTTTAAGATAATCAATTCTGCAGAAATGGACATTTTTTTTTTTTTACTTTTAACACATTAATGACTGTTATAAAATCCAGTATTGTCAAAACTAAAAAAAAAAGACATTAATTATAAGTTTTTGTCTATAGCCCATTAATGCCCTACTATAAAATACAGTATTAAATGCCTAAATTAAAATTGGTTTCTGAAAAGAAGAAAAAATAAGGGAAAAAAGAATAGTGAAGAAAAAAGAAAGCTGATATTCATTATACATTTTTATCTATATAACCTATTAATTTCCCACCTGTCGAAAAATGGGACAATGGACATTAATAGATTAAACTTTCATTCTCTAATACTGGATACTACTCTATTTTATGGGTTTGGTTTGGTTTGGTTTGGTTTACAGCATATCAACCTCAATGGGTTATTTAATGCCAACAAAATTTTTATTGCTGGTAATATTTTGTTTTCTCAAAAATCTATTTCTGGTAATTTTTTTTCTTCAAAAATGTATAGCTGGTAATATTATTTTAAAAAATGTATTGCTGGTAATATTATTTTAAAAAATGTATTGCTGGTAATATTTTTTTTTAAAAACATATCGCCAGCAATATTTTTTTCAAAAATATATTGCTGGTAATAGTTTTTTTTTTCCTTCAAAAATTTATCTGAGGTAATAATTTTTTTTACAAAGTATTTCTGGTATTAAAACCTATTTTTACACTTTCATAATGCTTTTTACCTCAGTTTGGGGGTTAACCATCTGCCCATAGCTGGGACCCAAACAGGTGCTACCACCCCAGGTCAGGGTGGACCTGGAAACACCAACAATTAAGAGGTGGTTCCACACTCCTCAAAACCTCCTGATCAGAGGCCTTGATGTTGGACACAGTTTATCATCTTAGCCTGGACGTAGATGTAGTTTATTGTTATACCCAGGACAGACTATTTATGGAGTTTGATTGGTTGAGTCATTAGTAAAGATATGAACAGTGTATTGGGAAAAAAGAGTGAATTTTTTCTGAAAGAATTTAGCAGGTGACCAAGAAGTCTCTTGATCCCAATCTTGCCAGCAAAATTGGCACCATCATAAAGAAGTCTGTCAAAAATTGTCCTCTTGAATGTAACAAAAGCATTATCGGCAATATTTGATAAAGGTGACTGACAAAATTTCAGAAGAATTAAAAGCAAATAACAAATATTCAGAAATTTTCTTTACACATATTTAAAAGTAGGTTTGACTTCTGACAAGAAATAAAATATTGAGAAAACATTGATTTCATGCCATTTGTATAAAAGAAAAATCCTGAGACTTGTGCAACAATAGTGACACAATGAGGTCAGTTAATTTAAGGTAAAGTTTTAATATAAAAAAAAGGATTGTTTACCTGTCAATGACAGTTTGAACAAAATCATCAGGATCCAGTTTGGCAGCACAAACCTACAAATAAAAATGAAGATAAAAAATAAAAAATTATATATATGTATGTGTGATCTTAGAACACTGTCATGGTCTACCGAGCTGTTGTCATCTCCAAAGAAAATGCAGAGCTCCATCCCTTGAACCCTCTTACCCTACCATGCTGTGCCTGCAGACGTCTCTTCAGATCCAAAATAGGACTCATTTCACACAGAAGGAAATGACTATGAGCATCCCAAGATTCGGCAACAAGTTCTGTCAATGGTGTGTGTGTGTGTGTGTGTGAGTGAGTGAGAGAGAACACACATATATATATATATATATATATATATATATATATATATATATTCTCTCTGTGTATTTAGCAAGTGTTCTTTAAGGCAAATATTATTAAAAACAACATTTTCTGCCGATTAATTTTAATGATCAACTTTTTCAAAATTACAAACAATCTTTCACAGACAAGGAGGAAATTCTGTTAGAAATTGTCCAAAGTTCATTTCAGAATAGAAGTACAAGATATATGATCCAAGCTTTCAATTTTCTTAAGTCATCATCAGGGTAGGTAGAAATGTCACACCTCACTTATATCATGATACTCTTTGCCTATGTCACAACATTTACTCGTTCTACGAAACTCACTGATTATCACGGTATGTTTCATATTTGAAGGCAATCTTCAGGGCTGAAGATTGTGCTCAAGCATGAAAGATTGTTGCCGCTTGGTGTTGACCACAGTGTCCACTTTTATATTTACATATGCTCTACGTCTGATACTAAGTACTTTTACTTACCCATAAATATAGCATATCTTAAAACTATATTTTAACACACACACGTGTGTGTGTGTGTGTGTGTGTGTGAGATGTCATACAATTTTTGGGGCCTATTGAATCTCTACAGATTTACTATCCTAATAGGCATCTCAACTGATAGAATTTATTTGTTTGATCAGAGAAGCATGTTAAATAAGAGCTTTCTAAATTGTCTTATATATTTATATATGTTGTCATTTTTTATAGCAAGTATAGACAAATTAGTATCTGTCTATATTTCTGAGATGAGATGCTGTCAAGATGCATGTGTTACATCAAAGTCTTCCTTCTATTATTTGGATACCTCACAGTGGGTTTAGCATGTGCCTGGATACCAAACCAAGATTTTCTCCATCCCAACACCATATACATACGCATATTTATTATCTGGTTTGTATGTAATCCAGTAAGCCTTAAAAAAAAAAAAAAAAAAAAAAAGGCAAAGTATAGAGAAAAATTTATGAGGCTGGGATGAAGAGGACATTACCTGCATCAAGAAAAGGTCAGCATCAAGCATAGAATAACAAAAATGGCACTGCACATAGGTCATAGCTTGACCTCTGATCTGCAAGCCATTTCGTAGCCACATGTTTGCTGCAATTTCAGCCATGCCAACCTACAAAGATCAAAAGAAAAACATACAGACACCAGAAACAAAAATGACATCTGAAAAAACTCTTTGCAAAGAATGTTAAAAAAAGGGGGGAGAAGCTTTTGAAAGGAAGTCTTAGTTGATAGCTCTAATACTTATACAATGACTTCAGTATATATATATATATATATGTATGTATGTGCGTGTGTGTGTGTGCATAAACATGCATGTATGTATGTATGTGTGCATATACACTAGAAACAAGGATATAACCAAAAGTGGATGTTTAATAATAAACACTACATGAATTGTAGGGAAAGAAAAATATATATATATATATATATATATATATATATATATATATATATATATATATATATATATATATATAAAATGGACTCTTTCACATCATCATAAATGTATGAAGGTCTGGCAACTCAGCCCCTAGAACTGAACAGTCAAACTACCTGCACATATGATTTCATTAAAGTGGTGACAGCTTGTGCAGAACTATCCACACTTTTTGGAAGAACTGAATACAGAGAATTGGTGCACAGTGTGCCATGAAGTCTCCAAAACAGTCCTCCTCAGGTTTTGAATTAAGAGATGTCCTTCTCCTAGACTGGTTGCCAACCAAGGCTAAAGAACCCAGTCTGTCCTACTATTTAACCCATAGGTAGTGGGAAGAAAAGATAGATTTATACCATTCCCAATAGTATTTGCATTTAAATGAATGTAACGAACTCGGCTCTCTGATTTCTCATTCTGAGCCACTGTCTATTGCATGCACACACATATTTTGATTCATTCAATGATCATGTAATGTTGATCTTTCAGAACAAAAAGCAAAAAATAAGGATAGTTTTTCCACTTGTTTTTTTTCCCAATTAAGCATTATTTAAATTCTAATTAAACAAACAAAATTAAATGTTCTGTCTACCAATTTCAAGATCTGCCAAACATTATTCCGAAAATTTGGCTCATATGAAACACAAAAACAGTGGCCTAAATATATTACTTGCATGACATAATTACTTTAAAAATTTTTTTTCTCTAGCAAGGTGGAGTACTTTACACCTACCTGTATTCGCAGAGGAAACATGAGCAGACATTTAAGCATATCTGTGGGAGGGAGCAGCTCATCCAGAGAGACATTTTGGTGTTGGACAGCATGAGCAATGAAAGTTGCCAGATAACGATGGAGTGGCAGATGGAAAGCAAGTTGCAGAGAATTGGGCTGAAAAAAAAAACACACAAACAAGTCATAAACACATGTATCACAAATAGAAAAGAACTAATACATTGGTCCTAATTTTTAAATTTTTTTTTTAGTCATTTTAATTCAAGTAAGGCAATAAAGCCATTAAGACACAAGGTGTTACTAAGTGTTAGAAAATGCAAGAGAAAAAACAAAGACCATTAAGGGGAGAATAATAAAATAACAGGAATTAAGACAGAAGATAATAATTGATATTACATTTAAATTTTTGGAGATCAAAGTTGACAGGAAAGCAAGAAGCTGGAAGAGAGATTCTCAAGTGGGATGTGCAAGAGAAGAAACTATTAGCATAGAACACATAGTTACATCTAGCCATTTCAACTGTAAAAGGATAAGACCTTGCCACCAATCTAATACCATGCTTAAATTCATAGTCTAGATACTATAGAGGAAAGTTCATCAGAACAATTATCATAAAAGTATTTATAGAAAAGGCACAGGGAAGCTACATTATTTTCATCAACAACCTTCATGATGTATCAGTTCTTAACTCAGTATCTATGCTGATAACTATTTACTCCAGTCTGAATAGTAAGTCTGATTAGTTTGATAAGATCAATTTGGCAATTGACCCCAAAAATGACCTATTATGTTAACTGGAGAAAGGAATGGCTTGTTAATTTTAACACCTCCAAAATGAAACTACTCTTTTTTAATCATCTGTGAGAACCCTTTTGCCTTTCATCAGCAACTCTAGGAGAGCAACTCATTGCTCCTTCTCAGGCTAATGTTTACTGCTGATATGAAATGTAAAGATTAAATTGAATCAATTGTTAGGTTTGCTAACGTTGGGTCACTGTGTAGTGCTATACAGTTTTTCTTGCCTGAATCTATCTTACACATTTAAAAGTCTACCATTCGTCCATGCATTGAATATTGCTGCCATATCATAGGATTTGTTTAGGATTGAGTTGCCAGCCACTTCTAAAGTTTTCTCATTCTCTTTCATTCCCACATCTTAGTGGCATTATTGCTTTGCTTGGAGTGAATTGATATAAAAAAATAAATTAAATATAAAGTAAACATCTGAACCATAAGAAAAATACCAAGAAAGCCTTTAATGTTTTAAAATTAATGTTTTGAATAGTCATGTGGAATATCCATCAAGAAAATATAGTGGGCTTGTTGATTTACCATCTAAAAACTTCAAAATCTGTTTATGGCAATTTAGCCAATCAAATACTGAATTGTTTAAATGATTAACTCAAAAAATAGATACAATAGTTTTTGTTATACCTGCATTTATAACAGATCTTATTTGAAAATAGAGCCGTGTATTTACTTTTATTGTGTCAACTACCCAATTTATTTTTTTACAAGCATTAATATCTCTTATTGTAATAGCCAAGACCTTTTTGTTTGCTCCCTTGAGATACAGGCATTGCAAAATGGTACTAGCAAAATTATTGTAACCAGAAAATTTGATATACTTAAACATTTTGAAGTTCTTTATTTTCATATCATAATTTATAATTATTTCTTTTTAAATAAACCATTAAAAACACAGGCAATATCATACTTTATAATTCTTACATTTTCAAAATAAACTATTAAAAAAAATGTAAAACTTGCTTACTTCCTTTTACTCCTAAGCTGGGATCTAAATGTTAAGGGCAGATAATGGACTAATGCGAATAATGAATCAATTTAAACAATTTACCTTCATTTAAGCAACAAATGTTTAGGTAAGCATGGTGAAATAATGGATAAAGTCTTGTATAGAGGAATCGGAGTAAAGTTCAAATTCTGGGCAAGTTTATTACATTCACTTATGCGCAAATACCTTTGGGAAATTATCTCTTCTCCCTCCAACTATGGGTAAATAGCAGGACAGACTGAGTCCTGTAGCCTTGGGTGGCAACCAGTCTAGGAGAAGGAAAACTGAATTCAAACCAGACTGAAAAGGGTTGAGCTCAGTCAGGCCATCTTGCCCAAGATACACCACTGCTACTATGGCTGCAGTACGTGTGATGCCCCCATGACCCTAATGGGTTACAGGACTAGTGATCCTGCTTAGGTAGGAAATATTTAAGGAGAAACATACTGGCAAACATAAATTATGAAAACAATATTTATTTGATGTCACAGCTGACCTGTTTATTATAAGTTCAGTACTGGTATTACAAAGCAGTTCTAATTATAAAGAATTAAAGAAATAACTTTTATTTTTAAAGTGATCAGTTTTTAGTCAAGTATAGAGTTTGATCCCTTATATATACTTAAAGGAACACTGATAAATTTTGATGTGCATCTGTATTTATAGACATGCACAAACAACAAATACATCCCTTCTGATTTCTTGCTTCACTGCCACCTACAATATTTAAATGCAATGTCAATTGCAGTCTTCTGTCTTCCTGAATCATATTCCTTTGTTCTTTCCTCACTTCTCACTAAAGTCTTCTCATTCTCTTTCACTCCCTGCATCATAGTGGCATTATCATCTTACTTAGTGTGAAATGAAAAAAAAAAAAAAAAAAAGATTATACATATATACACACATATATTTATATATATATATATATATATATATATATATATATATATATATATATAGAGAGAGAGAGAGAGAGAGAGATCAGTTCTAAATACAAATAATGCCATCTGTTTATATTTTTGAGATGAAGTATTGTAACTATTTACAATCTTTACATTGTTTAGACTATTATCCTAATCTTTGTCATATTCACATTTTTCAGTTCAAAATTCCAACGTATATCACCTGAAGAAGGGCATTGCATACAAAAGTTGTTAATATGACAATAAAGATGAGCACAATAGTCTGAACAATGTAAAGTGTGTAAATAAATAATGTTATGAATCATTTTTTTAAATATGTCAGCTATTCACACTTAACAATATTTTTTTTGAAGGACAGCCTGTCATTCACTTAATAAATCAGTGACTTTTATACTTTAAGATTCGGATTCATAGGTTTTTTTTTCTTTCCTGAATTAGAAATAAAAATTATCAACAAACTTCATGATAATTTACACCTAAATCACAAAATGTTCTGTTTCACATTGAAATGAGTTCAGAGTTCAAATATTACTTTAACCCCAAAAAGCAGTTTACCTTCGACTTTGGGAGGAAATTGATTGAATCAAACCAGTCTTGCAGAGTCTCCAAGCAAGCATGAATCATCACTCTGCTATACTCTGCAGTGTCCTGAAATTGATTAAAAAAAAAAAAAAAACATTAATTATTTTTTATATAACAAATGAATTGATCTGATTCTTCAAATGATGTAAAACTATATTTCCTTGTGGAAACAAATTTCAAGATTTAAGGAGAAAAAAAAAGTTTTCAAAAAGGAAAACCAAAAAAGAAAAGACACAAGCCATTGATAGTGAATCCAGTCATTATTCACTACTCCATGAACAAATATCATTATATTAGTGTATATACAAGTATAATTTGAACAGAGAATTACGAATCGCTTGAGGAAATAGATTTGGGATTATGAAGAAGCCTGGCAAAACATATGAAACAAATTTTTGCATGGGTTTTTATACATAATTTCTTTTCTTTTTATAAGCAACTTCAGATTATGACAATTACTTTGGTTGCTTAATTTTTGCACAAGCATTAGTACTCAAATATTTTTGTTTGGCTCGAATAAAAGAAAGACATTGTAATGTAACTAAAATAAAAGTAATTGGTTGTTTTTGTCTTGAAGCATATCAACCTTTATAGGTTATTTAATGCCAAAATCTAAATATTTTGTATGCAATTTTATTTTGCTTTTGGATATAATAATGGTTTAGTGATACAAGTCTTACTAATTAATCCATAGCTGGAGAAGAGGTGGATTCATGCCTTTCCCAAGGGTATTTGTGTGTAAGTGAATATAACAAACTCGAAAAGAATTGGAACTCAGCTCTCCAATTAACAAATCCAAGCCATTATCCATTACACCAACTCCAAATCCAATACAAAACCCAGTATTTCTAAGCAGTCACCCATCTAGGTTCTGGCCAGGCTTGATGTTGCTCAACTTTGGTGATTGTACATGAACCAGTGTTGCAACGTGATGTGGCCATGAGACAGTAAAATTCATAGAATTCTTGAATACAGTATAAAATAATGTCTTTAGTGACAATTTTTATTTAATTTTACAGCTTTCTTTCTTTTTTATTTTTACAGTAGCTTAAGCTACAATGACATCAGTATGGAGTTGCTTAAGATTCAGGTAAATTTGAGTACAGTTTTAAAAAAACAAAACAAAAATGCATTACAAGTGTTATGGTACAGGATGCAATTCCTGGAAAACTGTAATGATACAACCGTCTTACATTTGGGACACCAAGAAAGAAAGCAAAAGTAACAATAAGTCAGATATTACATTAATGAGAACCACTTTTATCCTTGTTCAACTCAGAGCTGTACTTCTAGTGGCTGAGATTTTCAAAGTCAACATTAAAGAACAAACTGAATATCTTTTTGAGAAAAACAGAAGAATCAAACAATTCTTTTTTTAAGATGCTAGACAAAATATTAAAAGAAAAGTTTGATTTCTCCTTAAATGGAAAACTCTCTTAGATCAGAGTCTTTTGAGAGTACTTCCTTCCCAGCAATGAAGCAAATAAAGTCTGAATGAGCAGATGTAAACTACACTCAGCTATCAGAAATTGTGTAATTGTCCAGCATAGATTCAAGAGCTGTGGTTTTTCTAAGCATAGCTTAGATGTGGCACAAGACTGAAATTATGGAACACCTAGTGAGGATTGAGCTCACACTGCAATCATAATTGATCGAGCAAGACAAGCTAGCTAACCATTACATCACATCAAAGTGCCCCAAAGATTTCCAAGGCAAATGAATCTTTTACAAACTGAACAAATTGTTAGAAGCTCTTATGGAAAAGAGTGGGCTCATTTTTAATTAACATATGAGACAGGGTAATTCAACCATATTTGTTAGCCAAGAATGAAGAGTTTAATCTTTGGGAGGATTAGCATTAGCAATTTCCATAACAGTTATCTGAAAGGTAAAAGAGCATTCTACCAAACTCAGCAATTTCCAAAACTCAAAGCTCCCTCACCAATATCTTATTCAAACCAACCAATCAATGCCAACCTCAAAGTCAAGGGACCAGTACATAATGCTCCTCCTCCCACTAACACTTTACTAATGACTAATATACCAAGATGGTTAACATTTGGCTGGTTGTCATTAATACAGCAAGTCTTGGTATCAAGAAATCACTTAAGTAGTTTTACCAACAATTTACAAGTTTTGTGACTCATATTTAGACTAAAGCCCAAGCAGTACTCCCTGAGGGTATATTTCTATGAACAAAGTAGCCCAATAAATATGCATACTATTTACATCATTTGGGCTGTTGCCCTCATCTTTATTGTCATATTCACGATCTTTCTGCTGTTGTACACTTTGATCCTATTCAGGTGATATATGTCGGAATTTCAAATCAAACTCTTTATTTAGTCGATGGGGGTAAATTCCAATGTATATCACCTGAGGAAGGTTGGAGTGTACAAAGGCCGAAACATCATGAATATGACAAAGATGAGAACAAATAGCATAATTAGTTACAATATCTCATCTTAGTAGTATTGACAAATATGCAAATGTTTAAAATGGATTCTAATGAATTAATATCAAAAGATTTTCCTTTAAATTATCATCATTGTCCCTAACCTTGCTGGTAACAGGAGTTGGTTCATTCTTTAAGTCAGTGGTGCCCAAACAGTGTGGCGGAAGAGGATAGCAGGTGAGGCGGAATGACTAAAAGACACTCAAAGATCTAGAAACAGTTTAAAACAATTCATATGCAAAAAATAAATATGATTTCAAAATTTAAAATATTATTATGGATTACTTGTAATTGCATGCATGAGTACCAGTATAAATGGGTATAAATAATTATTGACTGATTTTATCATTGATATTTTTGCATTATATCAAGTATTAAGAATATAGTAACTAGGGTCTGCAAACTGGAAGAGAGAGTTATCAATGATAATGTTCTGAATTTGAATCTGCGGTTATCTCCCTTTAACCCTCACTCTGAACCTTCTTTGTTGTAGAGCTGTTTGTGCATTTTCCCCCAAGACTTCCCTTTGGCGAGGTGCGAGCAAATTTTCATTCCAAAAATGCAGCCCAGAGAAAAAAGTTTGTGAACCACTGCTTTAAGTGAACAAATAAAACAGCGAAAAATGAAAAATTTTTTAAAAAACATTTTTAATTATGAGAAGTTTATAAGGCTATTTTTTTTTATTTATTAAGTACACTCAATATAAGGCTCAAGAGCCACTCAAAGTAAAGTGCTACTGTTAAAATGGTTATGATAAATGAGGTATATGATATGATTTAAATAAAAGGTGAAGATTATAAGGCAGATAATGAATGACCTTTGACTTGAAGAGGTTCAGGGAAGCAGAAATGTGAGAGTCTGTTGAAGATCTTAAGAAAAAGCTGTCCAAGTGGAACTTTCTCATTACATTTGGGATATGGAGAAAAATGAAGATTATTTGACTCCCAGTTGAATCCTAGTGTGTCCAGTTCCTTTCATACTAATGCAGGTGTCCCACAGGGCTCCACCTTTGGTCCTATTTTGTTTTTGATTTTCATTAATAACCTTCCTGATGGCAACAGCTCTCAGCTTGGTATCTATGCTGATGACACAACCATTTACTCCTGTTTCGATAGTAAGTCTGATCAGTTCAATAAGGTCAAATTGGCAGCTGATACCCAAAACCATCTTCAGTCTGTTGTTAACTGGGGCAAAAGATGGCTTGTTAATTTTAATACTTCCAGAATTAAACTGCTCTCTATTAATCATCTGAAATAACCATCTCTGCCATCCATCACTAACGACATCAATTTACAGTTGAGCTGGCTAGATGTAACTGTAAATTCTATTCTAACAGTTTCTTTTCTCACACTTCTTGCTTGTGGAACTCCCTTTTGGTTTTGTACTTTCCAGCCAACTTTAATCTGCAAAAATTCAAAAGCAATGTCAATTACTATCTGCTGTTCTCTTGATTACTTTTCCTCTGTTCTCACGTGTTAGCAATGTTCCTGTTTGACACTTCCACTACCAGTTACCCCTTGCATCTGTGGCTTTAGTGCCTAGCTTGGATTGAACTAAAAAATGGTGTATCCTAGTTGTAAAGTTCTGAAGTGGTGGAACTAAAGAATGGAGCTCATCTAAACATTTGCCATGGAAATAGTACAGTAATAGGCTTACAACATTGCATCTTTGGTAAAGAGGCTGTAGGCTTGAGAATGAGTCTTCCCACTAGACCATGTGATGGATTTTGAACTATCAAGATTGAAAAGTGAGGATTGAACAACTCCAACAACCCAGATATGACAGCAATAGTCTATATTTGGACTAATCTGACTTGTCAAGATAAAACGTAGCAGAAGGAGTCAGTTACTTCCTTGAGTGATAGAATGAGCCAATCATTTTCCTAGCACCTTTAGTAATGAATCTTATATGAGTTCACTTGAGATCGGGACTGAACTTGACATCCAATAGACATTCAAAGTATTGAACATCATTGAGACAGCAACCACTCACAAAAAAAATTAAAATCCAAAATCGTGGACTAAATCAGGTAAATCTAGAAAAGAAATAACTAAACTATACTTACTTTATCTTTGCAGTGAGAGATCAGATAAGACATTGGAGAAGCAGACATTTCTAGTTCAGCAGAGAAAGCAGCATAATAAGTATCGGGTTCAAATTCTACGTGCTGAGTTAGTTCCCTTTGGTTGAGGTTGCAACCTGTTAAGTAAATGGAAAAAAATTGAAATCAAGACACAATAAGTCAACTTCACAGCAGCAAAGATTTGAGATATCAAAAAAAAATTGCAGAGCAAATAATTAGGTGACTTGGATTAATTTTTGTTGAGACAAAATAAAGAATTGTTCATAGCTTTTAGAGTTGGGATTCTCAAAGTGGATGGTACTGCCATTCTTGTTGATAGTTAGGAAAAACGAATCAGCTGAAATGAGAGCGACAGGGTAGTATTGGAACTAAGTAATATCTTTTTTTTACAAAATCTATGACAAAACTTTAAAGAAGATATAATCTCAACAAAGAATAAAATTAACATATGTTTTATACATAAATGCATAGTTTTTATTAAATTTTGTGTGAGAATATGATACATAAATTTCTATATATATTAGAATAAAGTGTATAAAATGGGATACAGAATCCAGATAAAGTTTGAAGAATATGACAAATGGAAATCCATTTTATTGAAACTAGATTACACATTTCGCATTCGCTAGGATTCATCAGATTAAAATTGAAGGAAAGAAGTGTGTCTGTGTGTGTGTGTGTGTGGAAGGTCCATCTTGAATAAAGACAGCAACTTCCAAATGTGGGTAACAACCAGGATAACATCAGTCCAACATTTGCTGGTAATCTCTGCTATTCACTTTCAAACCTTTTTCAATGAACACTAAAGGTGATTTTGTACCATCAGAAGTGATAGCAGACCAAACCATGTCACCAGTTGTTTTGTTTCTTGAAATGTGTTCTGACAGTTTTGGGAATGTTTCCTGGTGAAGTGATGTAAACCCAATTGCTTTGGCAGTTGACCACAGCCTCAACAATAAAAAACTTCTCATCTGAACAAACAAAAACTGTCTGCGGTATCTCCTTCAACATTTTCTTCCATCTACCAAGCTATTTTTACCTCAAGGCATTTGAGAGCAGCTGTCATCATTGAATCTTGTATTATTTTATCCTGAAATACAGAATAAAAACGTTACCTTGAAAATAGAGTAACAGATTGAGCCATATTTTGATGAGTTCTGTACTGTCCATAAACTTCAGGGCAACACTGCGATGTGAAAGCAGATTAATAAGGTCACTCACAATTGGCCAGTAGCAATGATCCTTCATGGCTTTATAGCCACAGTCAACCACATGATGATAATTTACATGATCTGAAAACAAGAGAAGTAATTAAAGTCCAATTATAATGATTATTCTTTGAACTTCTACTTCAAGCAAATAACATTTTAATCTTTTTTCATCTGATAACCAATACATGTAACAACAATCTGATTAAAAAAAAAAATAAAAGCATGTTATGGAATTACATGATTAAAATGTTGATTTGGCCAAAGAATGCATTTAATTATAAAGTATTTATTCCAGCATTTTGCATTCAAGCCTTCCAAAACGTTTAAATACTGAAGGTGCTGTAACTCATACTAAGATACTCTGAAATCTCCTGATGAGTGAACTGAAAAATTATAAATGGGTTTGTCTACAAAACTTTGAAGTTGAAATGCTGAATCAATCAGCAAAGTGACAAATTTTATATCTGTATTAATCCTATATATATTTCTTAAGAGAATCTATTTTTATGAAAGAAACTTCTCAGAGTTCTGGGTCACCTAGATAAAAGACTTCAAAGAACTTTTTGATGTAGTTGATTGACCTTACAAGCGGAGGTCTTTCATCCAGGTATTTGTTGGCTGGCAAAGCCCATTGCAGCAGAAATCTGCTTCAGAGTAGTCCATTTACTACCATTCGCTAATCTGACATGTAAGCTATACCACAAAACCCCAGCAACTCCTGACTAGAGTTATTTTGAACCATTTCTAACTTGTCAATAAGCCTTTATGTCTTTTTCCTTTTTAGCACCTGACCATAATCATTAAAATCATGATAAAACCATGTTTTTGTTTACTATAAAACTTAGTTGGACTTTTTGTCATTCACAATTGCTTTCCTTTATGGAATGGGGGCTTGTCCTAACTAGAAAAAATTGGTTTAAAAATTTCCCAAGCCTTTCACCTTGTTTGTTTCCAGTAAGTAAAATAACTTATAAAAATATCAGATAAAAATTTGAATATTTTAAAACTTGCTATTGTGACCTTGCTATCAAAAATGTCATTTTCTATTGAAAAGTTTTTGTCTTTAGCCAACCTGGTGGAAGCATTTGAATCTTTAAAAAAAAAAAAAAAAACCTGAATTAGTACAACTTGCTACATATTTTAATACAAATACAGCTATGAAGAAAATGGAAATAAAAAATATTGTAGCTGAAAAATTAGTTGAGCAAGAAATTTTACATTCATATAACTTCATAGGAGAATTTCCTCAAAATAATTTACATTTAGAATTTAAAAAACTAGAAATGCAAGCAAGACTAGAATTGGAGAAATTAAAAATTGAACAAAATAAAATTCAAAAAATTGGAAAGAATTTAAAAAATTGAAAATGCAAAAAATAGAAATATATATATATATATATATATATATATATATATATATATATATAAAAATATATATATATTTTCTCAAAATTCCAATTCTCTTTTTCTGACTGATTTCAGCAAAAAATATTCAACTGGTTCCTAAATTTTCAATAAAATCGGTAGAAAATTTAAAATGGCCACACCAATTTTGGTCAACTTTATTACAAAGTGCCTTGATAGGTAGGGCAGCTGAAGTATATTCAGCTCTTAGTATTGAAGCATCAAATTATGATACAGTTAAAGCCGTAATTTTAAATGCTTACAAACTGGTGCCAGAGGCATATAGGCAAAAGTTTAGAAAATATAAAATAATTGGAGAATCAAACTTTTGTGGAATTTACCAGAGATAAGGAAAATTTTTTGATCAATTTTTTGAGCTAAGAAAACTTCAGCAACTTTAATAAATTGTATCAATTAATGCTTATAGAGGATGTTAAAGAAGTCATGATTTATTACTGCATCTTGGAGACAAAGATATTAAAAATATAAATGTGGCAGTAGTCATCTCTGACTCTTATACCCTAATATCAAAAGAATTTTCATGTAATGGGTAATTAAAGACTGAATGAAAATTATGAAAATAAATCGGTAGATCAGTCAATGTCTCAACAAATGTCATATTCTAAATCATGTATGGGTATTACAGCTAGTAAAAAAAATAGTTGTTTTAATAATTCTGTTGAAGTAGAATCAAAAAATTACACTTGCTTCTTGCAAGAAAAAGGAACACATTTTTGATTGCTTGAAGCTTAAAAAGAAACATGAAGCTGAACGCTCTTTTTATCCCCACACTTTTGCTACTAAACAAGCTAATGAACCTTTTCCCATTTTAAAAATTCCTGATAATCAGGATCTTAAGTCCAATTCCTTTTCCATGGAGAATTATAAACTCTTCTTGTCACAGGGATTTGTTTCTATTGGTGATACTATCTGTTTTAAACCTTATTTACATTATTCGGACTATTGTCCTCATCTTTGTCGCCATATTTATCACAACGTTTTGGCCATTGTACGCTCCAGCCTTCTTCAGATGGTTGGAATTTCGAACTGAACCCTTTATTTCGCTCACTGAGGTAGACTGTTCTAGTTCCAAGTGCCATGTTTGATGGATGTCAGTTATCAGCTATCTCCTGCTAATTTCCCTCTGAAAGTTCTCCACTGCCTTAACCAGGTATTGAACTCACTCTTTGGGTCCTGTCACTGGATCTAACCAACGCCTTTATCCACTGTGCAATGTGTCCTTGAGAACACATGGCACAGACAGACTCTGTTTTAAACCTGTTAAAATTTTACAAGATGTCTTAGACCTTGTTGTTAGGTGTGTTAGCATTATCAGACAAAACTTTCACCAATGATTCAGTATTATTATGGGTGTTGAGCTAGGTGTCATTAATCTTTGCCTACATCGTAGTTACTTAAAGTCAGACATAATTACTGGTCCAGTTATTGTAGATGCTCGCCCTACTCTTCCATCAAAGGAGTTTCCATATTACTTAGCATTGATTTGGCTGGTATGAAAGTTGTGGTGGATCCTATTCTCTCAGATTCAAAAAATCAAGACACATATCCTCCTTGTGCTGTTTCGAGAGCAAGGGTTAAAAAACAAACTGAAGATGATATTGAAAATATATCATTTTTGGATGAATTTATTAGACTGAATTAAACATTTATGTTTTATCAAACTGAAAATGAGTTGGAAATTAAAAATATTCAAAATAAAAATACTGTTTCCTCTCAGAAATCAAGAAAAAAAAAATGGTTGTCTGACAGTACTGATATTAATTTGTTAGGTTATGTACCAAAATTTAAAGAAAAATTAAATTGGGCATCAAAAATCACTCAGGGAAATTTCAAACGTTCCCAAAACAAAATGAAGTATGATATAAATACAAAAAGGAGAAATTTTAAACCAGGTAACAAAGCTTTGGTATTTTTACCTATCCTTAGCAATCCTCTATAAGCAAAATATTTTAGTCCTTGTTTAATAGAAGAAAAAAATTAATGTTTTGAATTATGTTGTTCAAACCCCAAATCAGTGTAAAAATAAAAGAATATGTCATCTTACACTGAAAGAAATAATAATTGAAATATAAAATCAATCTTGACCTTAACTAATATCATAAAAACATTGGAATGTCATCAAGATGATAATAAAGATATTATTGATAATGAAGAGAGTCTCCATTTAAAAAATGAAATCATATGTAATTTATATATATAAAAAAAAATTAAAACATTTATCTCTAAGTAAATGAAAATTTTTGATTTGGTCAGTGAGTTCAAAAGGATTTTTTTTGATCTTCAAGGAAAAACTACTGCTGCCCAACATGATGTTACAGTTAGAGATATAAAATCCATCAAACAACATCCTTACTGCTTGAATCCAATTAAACTTCAAAGTTTAAGAAAAGAGAATCAGTATATGCTGGACAATAACATTATTAAACTAAGCAATAGTCAATGGAGTCCACCATGCATTCTTGTACCCAAGTCAGATAAATCTTACAGACTCATGACAGATTACTGCAAACTAAATGCTGTAACCAAAACAGATTCTTTTCAGATTCCCAAAATCAATGATTGTATTGATAAAATTGGCAATGCAAAATGTCAGCAAATTTGATCTTTTGAAAGGTTATTGGCAAGTGCCCTTTAGCTATTAATACCGAAGAAATGTCTGCATACAAGCGATGGTTTATACCAGTACAAAATTATTTCTTTTGGGATGAAGAATGCTCCAGGCAAATTCCAAAGGATGATACATTCTATTCTTAATCTTAGAGGTTGTGAAGTTTACATCAATGATGTAAACATATACTGTTCAACATAGAAGGAACATCTGAAAATAATTTTTCATTCACCTTGAAAAGTTAAATTTGACTGTGAACCTAAACAAATCTGAATTTGGTCAAGCAACAGTTAACTACCTAGGCCATTTCAGTGGGTCAGCGATATGTTAAATCTATTACAGCTAAAGTAGACTATAATTTATTTCTCCAGAAAATATTTTTCCTGGTTCATCAGGTCATATCTCTAGTATATATACTTTAAATGCTCTTCCAAATTTTCTGTAACTTTCAGATTGTTAAGAGGTACAGAGAATTGCAAGCTTACCAAATGTTTATGAAGTCATACATGTATTCATTCTTGCTTGAAATTTGCTGTTTGTACACTAGAAAATCAATTTCATACACTAATGAATTAACTGACCAGAAAAAAAATTACCAAAATTTAACTTCACTTAACCAAATTTCAGCTCTTGAAAAAAAAAAAAAGTTATGGAAATTGAGTGTACTCACTCTGCAAGGTGCTTTCTGTGAGAATAGTCTCTACCATGTGGCGTAAGCTGAGTACCAGAATATACTGTAGATTGTACTCTTTGCACATTTTACGAGCCAAGGATTCATTACTAAACAACTGGACACTGATGTGCACAACACGGTGACCCACAGCATAATGGTCTTTTGATCTAACAAGGACTAAGGAGACACGACTGTAGTGTAATACAAACGCTTTTGTAAAGGCTTGCTGGAAAAAAAAAAAAAATTAATTTAAGCAAATAAACAAAAGGTAATAACAAAAAGACAACAGATGCAAGTCTCTTGCAAGATTTATATATATATATATATATATTATATAAAAATATCACAAAATATCTAAAAACCCCAAGACCACCTAGTTTGCACAACTTTACATTCTCTGGTAATATTACCATATTAATATTGGTAAGAGAATAACCTCAAATTTTTTTATCTATGATTTTTCCAGATGTGTAGCAATGATAGTCCCTTGTCTTGAATGAAGTGCTCATGTGTATTCTCTGCCAAAATCTGAGCCATGTCTCAAGGTTGTTAATAAAGAAATCAACTGCGTATGCAATTATTTATCTGGCCAATGGTAGGCCATTTCAGATGCCTCTATAAACTGCTAACAGTTGAGTGCTTGGCCAAGCTACCCCAAAGGCTCACGCATGTAGGTGACCATTATTGTTGACAATAATGATGATCAGCTCTTCCCTTTGACACTTTTTCACACTAACTCTCTGCCCATCTGAACAACATAACATGTGGTTGGTAACATAAACAGGAGGTATTGGAACTAACAAGGAACAGTCTTTCCCCTACCAAGCGAGGAGAAGAACTGACAGCTTCAAGAACAACTATGATAGTTAATACAGACCTGTGGTCAGAAATCTTCAATGTCTAGCTTCATTGTTGCTTAAACCCAAAAGCTATTTTTTTAAATTTATTTGCTTGTTCCTTTTTGGTAAAGTGAATGCCACTTCAAAGTCTCTTTGACCTTCATGCCCACAAAAAAATAATGGAGTGTCAAAAAGACAGTTTTTCACTCGACACCACTATTAATTTAAACATTTTTTTTTTTTTTTTTTTAAGCATTTCACCCCAAGCAAAGGCGGAAGCCACATGTGGTTACAGAAAAAGGAAGATCAGATAGGAGTGATAGAAAAAGGGAGGTATTAGAATTAAGGCAACTGGAAGATTGACATTACACTTGAATAGCTGGAGATTATAACTCTCAGGGAAACTTCCAGGCCCGAGACATAGAGTAGTAGAGACGGCTACATTTATGAGGAGAAGTGAAGGGGTGAGAGCGGGATGCCAGCCTCGTAGAGCTTTGAACTCAAGAAGTTTGGGAACGAATGCATCGGAGCAATTTCCATGAAAGTATAGAACAGACAGAGGGAGGCGAAAGTGCGTCTGTGAGAAAGTGACCTGTGGCCAGGTAGGGCCAACCATTCAATGTCTGGAGCCTATCAAGAACCCCATTGTTGCCAGACTTAAAGCAATACTCCATGCAAAAGCGAATTGTGGATTTTTTTAATCGACTCAGGGAAAATTTGCTTGTTCCTTTTGGTAAAGTATTTATTCCAATGCCGTGGAGACTTCAGAAGTTGTCTTGGCAATCTGTGGTGATTAACAGAGAGCAGTTGACCTTCATGCCCAGCCAAAAAATAATGGAGGTGAAAAAGACAGTTTTTTGGATTTGTTTTTGAGGCAGGAATAAATTTGGTGTCATCCTCAGTAGACCTTCACTGAGAAGTTACGGCGTCAGGAAGGTCATTTATATAGATAAGGAATAATGGGGCCTAGGATTGATTAGGAACTTTATATAAAACCAATAAAATTAGAATAAATATATGAAAATGAATTTATATATTTTCATTGTTCTTGAGAATTGACAAAAAAAACAAAAAAAAAAACACTATTTATTTATTAGATAGTTTATTGGAATCACACCTTCTCTATCTTAATACCACAGCCTACAGGATGCAACTTAAAATCTAAATGCTTTATCAAAACTAAAGTTTATTTTGATGGCACACACAAAAAAAGTTATGTTCCTAGGTGGGTGTTGTGCTAGATGCAAAGTATCTGGTTGACTAATGTTTACCCAGATACCATAGATCTCATATACTTGGGACTGTGGTTATATATGCCATCAAATATGTTCTATTATTCAGAAGATGAAATTAAACATTCAGACATTTTCCCAGAATTCCTTTCATTCTTTAGCCAAGCCATTGTTATTTTTTTTGTTTTGCCTTTACCTTGTAGTTTTCATCAGGCAACAGACTCAGCAACAAAGTGACCATTTTTTGAGGTAACTCAAATTTGACCATCCAAAAGACCAACTCGTCCAAAAGGGTTGTGTGCACCAATTTATGACCCAGACCTTTAACATCTACAAAAACAAAAAAATTTTCAAAATAGAAAAATCACTAATTCACAATTTTTGCAGTTTCATTTATTCTGTACTTATAGATTGTGCTCTTTTGAAAAACATTGGCAAACATGGAACTTTATGCCTGCAAAGAAAAAAGTGTCAAAAGGATGTTTCCCAGGACACCGCTTTTATTTTAAGTACTCTTTGGCAATGTTTGTTAGCGATGATTAGAATTTTAATAAAACTTAAACATATGAAAGTGTATTTATACAGTTTCTTTGTTCTTTAGAATTTATAACAAAAATAATAAACACTATTAGATTGTCTATTAACACTATCATATTATTTATTGGAATGGTTGGAAAAACATTGGCTAATTGCCAATTAATTCAAACTTTATAAAATGGTGAATAATAAGGATTTCCTTATAGTTTATATATTTTAATAATTTAGTAAATGTTTATAAATTTATGAATAAAAATTTGTTTTCAGACTTATTTCTTTATAAATTGATAAATGATAAATATTGCATTAGTCTTAATATAATTGTATTAGTTTTTTGAACGTTGTAAATATAAAATTATTGTTGTAAATAAACAATCTAGTGTTTAATATTTTTGTTATAAATTCTCAAGAACAAAATATGTATAAATTCACTTTCATATGTTTAGGTCTTATTAAAATTCTAATCATCGCTTCTTAAAATAATAAACATTGCTAATGAGTGAAGGTAGTGAAAATAATAGTAGTGTCAAGGGAAAAAAACATCCTTTAGACACCCTGTTTTTTTTTTGCAGGCACAGAGGATAAAGTTTGCCCTACTTTAATTAAATTCAGAATTTTGTCATGTAAATCAAATTAAATGGAAACATGATTAGCATACAAGTACTTACAATATTTTCTATCTCATTATCTTTTCTATTAGGTTGCCTAGATAGTCCTGACTCACTTTTATGGAACAACACCAACATTTATTCTTCAAAATAAAGTCCATCATTCTTGATCGATTCTGCCAGTGATCAGCCAGCATCCAAATCTGTCCCAGATACCAGTCCACTGGATTTGAATCAAAAACTGTAAACAAGCTTTGTTCACTTTATCAAAAGTGTTGAATCACTCGTCACAGAAGAAGTGTGCCATTGAGCAGAATAGGCCATAGACACTGAGCAGCATCAGGAGTGAATGGTGGATGTGGAAGAATCTCAACATGGTCCATATGTTTGAACTTCTCCTTAGTCAACCTAGCACTGTGTGGCCTCACATTGTCTTTCTGACACAAAGCCCAACCTCAACTGACCAAAGCAGGATACTCCTTTATTTTGTTGTACACAGTTTAGCTGCTGATAATACAATTTAGCATTAATGGTGCGACTGTGTGAAACAAGCTCAAAATGCAGTACTCCTTGGAAATTCCAATAGACAGAGATTGTTTTCTTTCCACTTCCTATCGAGTCAGAACTTTCTGGCTAACCTAGTATTTTTAAACTATGTAAGTCAATATGTCAGTCTCTCAGGATCATTTGAATCAAATTCTATCTCTTTAGGATCTAAGTTCAAAATATTCACTCAAGTCATAAGTAATTTCCGTTTTTGGGAACCAACTAGAACTAATATTCATCCTAACTAACCGTTCCTTAAATAACAGGTGATGAAAACCTGGTTGCATACAACAATGTATAACTCAAAAATCTGCACAACCAACTCCAAAAGCTGAGCTCCATAAAAGAAATGTAATGTTATATGTGTAGCGTGATCGTCAGGATATTATTCATTAAGTTCTTAAAATGCAATGTAACACTAAATGCACATTTATATATCCAGCAACTTCAATATGTCCATCGTCCTGGGTATAACAATGAACTATCTCCAGCAGCAAGGCCTTTGATCAAGATGTTTTGATGAGTGTGAAACCCCCTCTTAATTGCTGTTGTTCCCACGTCCACCCTGACCCAGGTGGTAGCACATGTTAGGGCTCCAGCTATGGGCAAATAGTTGGGCCCAAAACTATGGTCAAAAGACTATGAAAGTATAAAACTACGTTTTTATAGTAAAAATTAGCAGTGATAAATTTTCATAGTAAAAAAAAAAAAAAAATTTTTATTACTTTTTCAATCACTGTAAAACACTTTCCCTTATGAAAACCAGATTTAATTTGGCAAAAACATTTTTCATATAAAGATCTGTGAAATTTTATTCAAAAGGAATCCAGGAGTTGCCTGGTAAATGGCAAAACAACATTGCAAATAATGGTGAATATATCATTGAATAAAATGTAATTGTACTTTATTTTTTTTTTTTTAAGAATAAAGTTTATAAGTATAAACTGAAATTATTTATAACTCAACCTAATACATGTACACCACTGATTTTCCAGCATTATTGATTCCAGAACTATGCCAAATTATTTATTTTGTCAGACTAACAGAAGTCATGTAATAAAAATTCAATAAGACACCTCTGAACCATGAATGATACATCTTTCACATCTCTACATCACTCACTGTGAGAAACTTATATCAAACGCAAATTATAGGCGACTTTCCAGATGGTCGGAAATCCTCCTCCATAGTTCCTGTTTTTAAGAACTCTGGAGAAATCCTCTGACACCTCAAATTATCATCCTATTAGTATCTTACCTTCTTTCAGTAAAGTATGGAAGGCTCTAATCAATAGTGAATTGGCTAAGCATCTTACTTCAGGCGACCTCCTTTCAGATAAACAATACGACTTCTGTTTCACCAGGTTTACTGCACATTGTGTTAATGACCATCTCTTAAGCTTTAGATAAGGATGGTGAAGCTCAGGATATGGCTCTAGATATCTAGAAGGTGTTCGACAGGCTTTGGCATGTTGACCTTCTATGCAAGCTCGAGGGCTATGGTGCCACAAGACATATATTGGCATAATCCGATTGTTCCTCACCAATCGAGTTATAACGATTGTATTGAATGGGCATGGTTCCAGATCATTTCATACACATATGAGAGTTCCCCAGGGCTCTACCCTTGGACCCACACAGTTTCTGATCTTCATCAATGATCTTCCTGATGTTATCAGTTCCCAACTAGGTATTTATGCAGATGACACTACCATTTATGCCAGTCTTAGTAGCAAATCCAACAGATCCAACAAAATAAACCAGCAACTACTCGAAAAAAAAAAAAAGCCTCCAACTCCAATCAGTAGTTAACTGAGTTAAAAAATGACTTGTAAATTTCAACACCTCCAAAACAAAACTCCTGTCATTTAATCGTCACAGAGAACCTTTCTGGCTACCATCAGGATGGCTGATGCTGAACTCCTAGAGAGCAACAGTATGCCTTTTTGGCCTCACGTTTGAAGTGGAACAACTATATCAAGTCAACTGCTACATCTGCTGCAAAGAATCCATCTTGTACATTCATAAATCTACCATTCGTCCGCATATTGAATACTATTGCCATATCTGGTCTGGTTTTTTTATGTATTTTGAGATTCTTGATAAAATCCAGAGAAGGGTCTGCAATGCAACTGATTCTGACCAGGCATCTCATCTCCAGTCACTTTATCACCAATGTGATGCAGCTTCTCTCTGTCTGTTCTACAAATATTTTCATGGCAACTGCTTGGATGAGCTTTCTTCCTGGTGCCCAGACTACAAGAATTTTAGCATGCTACTTGATTGGCAATTAGGTCTCACCCTCTGTGGACATGAAAGTGAGTTTAACCTTAGCTCTCGACATAAGAGGGTTCGTTTGTGTCTGGCGTGCAGGGCAGTAATTGATCCGAAGGAAGAAACACCGCCATTACGGTGAGTCGGTCTTATGGGAAACGTGCTGCGAGGATTGGCGAGAGGTGAACTTTGCCGTATGCAAATTGGTTGGTGTTCGCTGGCATAAATGTGACGGCGGGAGACCACTTGAGAGATCGTGTGTAGCGAACTACGAGGCGGCATTGTTATTGAGTGTTGAAGCTAAATTGTTTTGAGCAACCTGTCTTGAAGCTGAGGAGTTTTGTTTCTTCCGGAAGTAGGCGGTGCCGGACCAACCTGTTCCCTTCCTATTGTTTGTTCCCGATTTTACTTACACCCTTTTACTGTTGAACTAGCTAGATTCAACTGCCACTTCTACTCTAACAGGTTTTTTTTTTTTTTTTTGCACTTCCCACCTTTGAACTCCCTTCAGATTTCTTGCTTCTTTTAAACTAAAATCTTCAAAGATTTACATGAAACCTCCAATTGCTGCCATCTGTCTTCTTGAACCCTGTTCCTTTTTTGTCCTTTCCTCAATCCTCCCTATTTTCAATCTTCTCATTCTCTTTCACTCCCTGTAACCCCCTGCATTCCAGTCGCATTGTTGCCTTGCTTGGGGTGATATGATAAAAAAAAAAAAATAAATAAATAAATTATATGACTGAATAAATTTGGTGATACCATGAAATTCAAATGTTTGTCATTTTGTATGAATTACAAGATGTGCCAGACAATCAGTTACTGGAAAACTAAAAATTGTTGATAAACCTGCACTTGTATTTTTTTCTTAACTTAATAATTTCATGACCAAAAACACATCAAATTGTTGGTAACAGTTGTTTTTATCTTTTGTAAATAACAATAACATATATTTTGAGTGAAAACCATGAAACAACAACAACTGATCAGAGTATGAGCAGTTAGTAAAATATTTACCAGTTTCTATAAAATTTGTTTTTCACTGCACAAATGAAGAAATTAAACAATCTAATATTCACTCAAACATTAATTTTCTTTAAAAAAAAAAAAAAAAAAAAAAAAAAATTATATATATATTTCTCAGGACAATGACTTTGTGTAATGGTAATTATCAAAAACACCAAAAGGAATATCCTACTCACTTGTAAATTGTAGAAAGGTGCCTGGAGCAACCATATCTTTAAGAGTTTGTAAATAGTTCACTTCACTCTTTGTATGATACTGGCCTTCAGCTGTAAAGAGAGTAGATATTAGCTTTCACTGGAAGTAGATATTTATAAACTTTATACGTTTGCCAAAACAGTTGCATTTGTTAAACAGAAGAAAAAAGACCAATTGCTTTTGTTAGATTGAATAGTACACAATATCTATGATTTTGTTTTATTTTGTTCATTTGATTAAAAAAAAAGGTCTAAGTTGACATAACCCTGTTTTTCATATTTTCCCTTTTTGAAACAAGCAAATTGATCTCTTTAAAGAATGACAGATAAACTTTCTGAGACAAAAACTTCAATGATGGGCCTTGTTTGACTCCAGTTTTTTGTTAGCAAAATATACATATATACATCATAACTACTAAGTGAGACACTTATATAGAAGGATTTATTTATCAGAAGAGTTTGGTTGTACTAGTTCAATAAATATATCAAAATTCTTGTAATGTGGTTATTAAATGTTTCTGATATTTGGGAATGTCTTGGTGAATAAATAAATTATTTGCAAGTGATAAGTCTATCATTAAAAAGTAATATTAAACATGAGAAAGTGATATTTGTGTCAAACATATCTGTGGATTTTCATTCCTTGAGCAGCTGAAATCCACATGCTCTCTTGCTGAAAGTTTGGTTAAAAAAGGAAGACTCTAAATTTCTCACCGGTAGGGCAGTTTTCTTTTTTCTAGGGAACCATAGGAAATTAGATCTTTTATTTTTTATTTTCTTGTGATTGCAAGATCACTACAACCTTTTTGCTAATTTAGGTCCCATACATACATACATTGGTTTATTTTTTTGTTGAGGCAGGTCTGAGGTGAATTTTGTACAAAGCAAAGTGGGTACTGCTTGACAAAGGATTTGTCCAAATGTTTTTAGGCAAGTTTTTACAAGGCTGGATGCTCTTCCTGACGCCCATCTCGGACACTCACAGTAGTCCAAGTATACAGTGTTTTTATCAAGCCACCATCTCTAGATAGGTGCCATTCAAGACATGAAACCCCATCCTAAGTGTGTGTGTATATATATATATATATATATATATATATATATATATATATATATATATATATTTTCATTCACTCCCAGTAACCCCTTGCATCTTATTAGCATTATCACCTTGATTGGAGTTAATTGATTAAAAAATGTGTGCGTGTGTGTGTGCTCTAATTCCTGACCACCAACAATCCCTTTCCTTGATTTACATTGCTAAAAACCAAAACTTCCTAAGAAATTGATTTAAGGTTAAAAAAAAATATATTGCAAAACTTGGTGCTTCAAGTTTTATCACCTATCTTGAGATATTACTTAATTTGAGAATATACCTTTCTGGGCTATTTCTCAAGTTAACAATATACACACATCTAACAGTGGTCTACCAAAGTGCTCACTCACCATTTTTTCCCAAACATTATGGCATGTAAGCAATGAGGCATTTTTTTTATCCCATTAAGAGATTTCACAATAGAACAGTACAGGGATATGGATTCATGCCTTTCCAAAGAGGCCTTTGTTCTAAGTGAACAGAAGGAAAGAGATACTTACTTTGAATGAATGTTTCATAGACAGCTGGGTTGGTTAGAGCTTGTCCCATGACCTTCATCATGACAGCTCCCATATCACAAAGGCTGTGTAAGAAACTCAAGTACTGATCTGCTTCTTGCATAATCTGTAAATTTACATCTGCCACATCTGCAAGAAAAATAGAAAAACATGAAAAATTTTCTAAAATCCAACCTTATTTCTGATGAGTATGTTTTTAATTTTAGTTGCTTTTCATCAACTACACACTGCCACCATTAGTAAAAGGATTTTTTTTTTTTTTTTTATTTATTTTTCTTTTTTTACATGACTGTTCACCAATACAATATCCAAGAGCCAATGAAGGCAAAGAGTTACAAAATGGGCTTGTTTAATGATGTAAGAATTGTAGATTATGAGGATATTTAGGATAGATAACAGATGACCCTGGACTTGAAGAGCTTTAAGATTGTAGTAGTTGGAGAAGCATCTACTTGGGCACCTGTTCCACATAGTTGTGGCTCGTAAGAAGTTGTCCAAATAGAACTTTCTTCCTACCAATGAAATATGAAGAGAATGAGAATGATTTATCCCCAAATACAGATCTGAACTGGGGGACAAAGGAATGTAGCTAGTGAGAACATGGAAAATAATTCATCACCTATAAGGCTATTTATAGATGTTTTGAACTCTGTCAAGGCTGAGAAACTCCAGTCCAGATATAGCAGCAATACTCCATTTTTGGTCTGTGTACTAGAGGTTAAGCAAGAAAACACTTTTTTTCTTTTACTTTAGTTTTTTTAAATTATTTCACCCCAAACAAGGCAATAAAGCTACAAAGACTATCTTTTCAGGAATAATATTATCAAGGAGGTAATTAGTAGTTCACAGTTGCACAGATTTACCAGGAAATTGCAAAAAGATAGTTTTTATCCACATGCCCACTCAAACAGAATATAACACAAAGCCATGACTGAAGTTGAAATCCTAGATGCTTATATAAAAAAAAGAAAGAAAATCACCCAGCTCCTTCGCAATTGAGATGCCTCAGACATCAAGAATCTAAACTTTTATTCCTTTACCTTAAGAAGCCTATCTTAGTGTAACAGTCCGTCTTTTTTTAAAAAATAAATATCTTTTTGTATTAAGGCAGATGTTCCCCAAGACTCTATCCCTGAATCTATGATGGCATCAGTTCTCAACTTGTTATCAATGATGATGACAACCATTTACTCCTGCCACAATAGTAAGTTGGATCAGTTCAGTCAAATAAGGTCAAATTGGCAGGTGATCTCAAGAATGACCCATGGTCTGCTGTTAACAGGAGCAAGAAATGGCTTCTTAACTTTAATGCCTCATAAATTAAACTCTAACAATCACCTGCAAGATCCCTTCTCACCTCCTATCAACATGGTTGATACTAAACTTCATGAGAGTGACTTGTTGCATCTTCTCGGGATTATGTTCTTGGCCGACATGAAGTGGAAAGATTATACTGGATCAATTGCTAGGACTGCTGCTAGGAAAGTTGGTTCACTGTGTCGGGCTAGATAATTTTTCTCCCTTGAATCTATCTTACATATTTATAAGTCTACTATTTGTCCATGAACTGAATATTGCTGCCACATATGGTCCAGTGCTCCTGCTGTATATTTCTAGATTCTTGATAAAATGTAAAGAAGAATCAGCAATATTATTTGTACTAACCTGGCATCTCAGCTTCATTCACTTTCTCACCACCATAATGTAGCTTCCCTGTGGCTTTTCTATAAATACTTTCATGATAATTGTTCGGATGAACTCTGCAATGGTACCTAGACTTAATGAATTTAAGCACAGTACTAGATTAGTGACAAGGTCCCATCAGTTTAAAGGTGAAATGGTTAACTATAATTTTAAGTTCTAAGCTAATAGTTTTTTCCTTGCAGTTCTTGGTTCCCAGTAAATTTTGATCTTCAAAAATTTAAATGCAATGTCAATCGTTATCTACTGTCCTCACTCCTTAATAATGTTTCTCTTTTTTCATATTCTTTCACACTCAGTAACCCCTTGTGTCTTAGTAGCTCTACTGCCTTGCATGGCATGAAATGATCAAAAATAAATAAATAAAAATACTAGTGCTGTCTGAAATAGTCATGCGTGTGTGAATTTTTCCAACTTATCAAACAATCATGCTGGTTCAAGTAAACCTTTTTCTGGAAATTTATGTAAGTTTAATAAACAGAGCTAAGTAGTAATTCCACAGAGAAAAATGATTTAGAAAATAAGTTTGTCATACCAAATAAGTATCATGCTGGGGGAAAATTGAAAGAACTAATTGTGCTGGTACTTCTATTTAGTACACAAGAATACTAACTAACTGAGCTCTGAGAGTCTGGCAGAAGATCAATTCTGACCATAAATTCTTCCCCCCTCCTATTCAGCATTAAATTTAAGGTTACTATTAGCAGTATTAGTAGCAGTAATACAGTGTGTGGTAGAAATACCTCCCACATTTTAAAGGTTGACAAATGTAGCAAAAAAGCTTTAAACTTTTCCTTGCAACCAATGCCTGCAATCAGTTTCTTCTCAATGTCTGCGGCATGTGTAGACAGTTCAACACAGTAGTCAAATGTCCTTTCTCAGTTTCCTCATTCTTCCCATTTTTATGTATCATTAACGGCTAAAATTTGCATATGCGCAAAGATAATCTTGCAAGAAAGTAACTTACTCCAGGATCTATCTATTTTAAATAGGTAACCCACAAAGCCATCATTTCTTTCTTCTTTGGACAGTTTACACACGAGGCACAGTCAAATCTTTGCCTGTGCTGGAGGCAAATTATTTTATTCTTGATTTTATTCTAGCATTTCAAAAAATACATGCAACCCTGGGCTTCTTTGCCCTCTGCGGTAGTTTACTACAACAAAAAGACAATGGTAACTGCTATTATTAAAAAAGAAACAGAAAAAAAAATACTATTGTTTAAACAAAGGGCTACAATTTTTATTCATTGGGTTTTAAAAATGACATACTCCAAATGGTGGTTTCTTCTATTCACCATACACAGTTGTAGACAATTTGTAAAATTTTCTGTCACCCAAACAGTTGACAATTTTAACATAATGAATAATTTGAAGTGAAAAAAGCAATACACTCCACCTCTGCCAAATGCATTAAATAACTTTGTAAACTATGTACCTTGTAAGCCAACAAATACTGTACATAAAATATTGCATATATTTTTTCAAGCAAGACATAGCCATGAAGATACAAGGATGTAATGAGTGAAAGAAACAGAAAGGACAATAAAAGAACAGAATTCAAGGAAACAGAAAATGACAATTGACATTACATTTAAATTTTTCAAGATTGTAGTTGATAGAAAAGCAGGAAAGTACTAGTATTTAACCCATAACTGGGGCAGAAGAGACTGATTCATACCATCCCTCAGGGTATTTGTGTGAAAATCCAAAGAACAATCAGCAATGTTATTTGTTCTGACCTGGCATCTCAGCCTTACTCACTTTGCCTTCACCGTACTGTAGCTTCCCTGTGCTTATTCATAGTGATTGTTTAAATGAACTCTTTGCTATGGTACCTAGACTTTATGAATTTAAGCACAGTACAAGATTAGTAACAAGGTCTCATCAATTTACAGTTGAATTGGCTAGATGTAACTATATGTTACATACTAACAGTTTCTTTCCTCGTACTTCTCACTCGAGAAGAAGAGTCCCTAAAGTGAGAAATCTATTAACAAAGAATTTATGGTTAAAACTATATTAAGTTATGAGACCTAACAGTCACTCTAGTACTGCACTTAAATTTTTGAGCACCAGTTCATATATGGCAGCAATATTCAATGAACAGATGAATAGTAAAGTTATAAATGTGCAAAATAGGTTCTGGCAAGAAAAATTGTCTAGTGCAACATAGTAAACCAGCTTTCTGAGTAGCAAACTTAGCAAATGATTCAATGTAATCGTTCTAAATCATGTCTGTAGAAAACATGGGACAAAGCAGGTACAGGGAGTTGCACTCCAAGAGTTTAGCATCAGCCATGCTAATGGATTTTATTTGATTGATTTTTTATGGTTTACCAACTTGCCATGTTGATGGAAGGTAAAAAAGGTTAAGAAGATTAACAGAGGTGTGTGTGTGTATATATATATATATATATATATATATATATATATGTGTAATACAAATACAAAATTTGTCACTAATTTATGTTATATTCAGTATCCTGACTCCAGTTTCATTTGTAATCATTTGGCCCACTTGATAGGTTTTTGCAATTGATATTACATATATGTGTGTGTGTGTGTGCACTTTTCATTGAATCTGACAAACAAGGTGCTTTGATTTAGTTTTTTATACAATTTCTCATATGATCTTATAATTTTTATTCTTTTTGGATTATAAATTATATAAAAACTGGTTTATAACATACTTGTTGATAACACAAATGTAATAGCATCATCTACATGTAAAAAAAAAAGGCTAAAAATAATGGAGGCCTTATTAACAAAAAAAAAAAAAACAACACTCAATAATATCAACTATGAACATGGACACAATGTCATGACCACGTTTTAAAAATGAAAACATTATATAAATACATACATACAGCAATCTAATTCTTGTTAACAGTTAATATATTTCAACTTAGAAAATAGCCAAAAGTGCTCAAAAAGAAAGAAAAACTGGACAGTTTTTCACATAATTTATCCTCCGGAAAGGACAAAATGAGAAATTGTATAAAAAACCCAAATCAAAGCACCTTGTCTTTCATATTCAATGAAACGTGCATGAAAGAAGCATTGCTACCTAAATATACACACACACACATATATATATATATGTTTCATTAAATAATATAGACAAGTGTTGTCTATTTATTTTATGTAAATACTTTTCATAATGTCTGATAAGCTTAATAACATCATTAAACGAAGAAAGAAAATCACAATATTGATACATATTTTTTTTAATCCAATGTAAGCTTTCGGCTTATATAAGCCATTATCAAAGATGACAATTACAGTACAATATATTAAGCAATACACGGACAAAAATGTGATGATCTGTTTCTGTGTACATGGATGATTTCCAAGCAACGATAAACACGTGCATATAATACGCTTGAAGCGAAAATCGCACCGCAGCTCATGAGATCACACATGACC